ACGTACTGACCACCAACGCTATACAACACAGCCTAAGGCGCAGATTGTGGTAGAGGTTTCAGAAGAGCATGATTTGATCAGGTGGTGGCAGGTATTTAGCTATAGAAAAGGGTTTACAACTGTTGAAGTCCTTTGACTTCTCAAAGAAACTGCTATGTGATCTTCTCCGTTTCCCAAGAATAAGTTACTGCCTCTGCTTACACAGTCTGTTCTCCATGATGCTAACTAAAGGGCAAAGAACTCTGTCCAGATGCCTCTCGAAGCCTGTAACTGCAAGACAGCACAACAAAAATAAAGCAAACCAATAAAAAAATCTCCGCTGGGGGATATGACCAGCAGCACCTCAGTGAATGTTTTACTGTTGCATTTAATTGACCAGTTATAGAACAAGTATTTACTGGTTTCTGCCTTAATAAAACAGTTAAGACCAGAGTTCAGAAACACTGAAGTAAGTGCCCAGCTTGAGACCGATTCTAGGTATGCTTTTCTTCATGTGTTTTTGAAAACAAAGAGCATGCTTTTCTTTAAGAAACATTCATACCAAGGGAGATTACAAGTCTTCACATTAAAGCGCAAGTTTCTAGGCTGGATATTTCCAAAAGGGTTCATGGTCATCCCATTTTCTCTGTGTTTCACACAACACATATTATAGATTTGCGATTTTCCTGAAGAAGCCTCACAAATTTGACCTGTTTCTAGGCAGATATAAAAAGACACAGATTTTAAATGGTATAAAGTGACTTTCCTAAGCCAGGGAATTGTCAAATGTCCTTTCCCAAAAAACTGAAAGCATAAAGCTGTCCGCATGAGCTTTGTGATGGCCACGCATGTGATCTGCTGTACTTCTCATCCCAGAAATTTCACAGGTGAGATGGACATAACATACAAGAGAGACACTGAAGTACTGGAGCATGTTCAGAGAAGGGCAACGGAGCTGGCGAAGGGCCTGGAGCACAAGTGTGATGGGGAACGGGTAAGGGACCTGGGGGGGGGGGGGGGGGGTGTCTGAAGAAAAGGCTCGGGGGACCTTACAGCTCTCTACAACTGCCTGACAGGAGGATGGAGTGAGGTGGGGCCGGTCTCTGCTTCCAAGTAACAAGGGATGGGACAAGAGGAAGCAGCCTCAAGCTGTGCCAGGGCAGGTTTAGACCGGAGAGGAGGACCAACTCCTTCCCCAGAGGGTGCTCAGGCATTGGAATAGGCTGTCCAGAGCAGTGCTGGAGTCACCATCTCCGGAGGTATTGAAAAGATGTGCAGTGTAGATGTGGCACTTTGGGATGTGGTTTAGTGGTGGACTTTGCAGTGTTAGGTTCACGGTTAGACTCAATGACCTTCAATGTCTTTTCCAGTCTAAATGATTCTAAAGTAATACAGGCATGCGACACCATCTAGTGTTTTAAGAAGTTATTTTGTTCTGAATAAACAGTCTTTGCTTTCCCATAGCTCACCACTCAACAGTGAAAGCTATCGTTACCCCTCACTGCAAGGTAATACTAATGAACTGCAGGAGTCCACAGTTTAAAAGCCTGATTTTAAGTAATGAATTCCAAGCACCCCAAACCTGCATGGAGCAACCTCAGAAACCACGTGGGTCTGAAGCTCAGTTAAGTCATGGATAGTGAGAGCTTCTATTTCTAATAAAGCCCGTTAAAATGAAGAAGCAACTGCTCCACCTCCTTCGTTTGCAACCTCTCCATTCCTAAATTCCCTTGCTCTCTGTTGCAATTCACTTTGTTCTCCAGCAGTCCCTCCCATTCTGCCCAAACACCACCTTTCCCCCTGAAACTATGACTTTGGGAAGTAAGTTTCAAGAAGAAACGTACAAGGTCCAAGAATGACAAACTGTCAGGCTCATCAAAAGAATCCCCAGGCTGGCCAGAGTCATAACTTCTAAATGCACTGGTTACATTAGTGTCCTCCACGGTTTATGTTTAGAAAGAAAAATTTAGAATAAGGACATACATGGTAGTGTTAGTCTAAGCTAATTCCTATATATAGTTTCTACAACAAATGTAGGACCAATCTCACAAACAGGTCTGCTCTAGCACCCAGATCATAGAATCGTAGAATAGTTAGGGTTGGAAAGGACCTTAAGATCATCAAGTTCCAACCCCATGCCATGGGCAGGGACACCTCACACTAAACCATTATCACCCAAGGCCTCGTCCTCGATACTGAATGTGACAGAGCAACTATGGAGAGGGGGGGAAAGGGAAGAAAAAAACTCTAATTAAAACAAAAAAAAAAAAAAGAAAAAGAAAGGAGGACTTCTGTACAAGAGAGGGCATGTTCAAAGCAACCCCCCTTTAATACCGCATGGGCAAAAAGCCTCACAACAGGCACTGAAGTTGCTTGACTTAGTGAACCTATGCTCTTTTAATGTAACCTCTGAAATGCAGTTTTAACAATATCCATGTGAATAATAGAAACAAAGAAGGGCGAGCTCTTGAGACAACTTCCCTCCCAACCATACTGACAAGGACTCTCTCTTCCCCTCAGGTGATTACCTTCACAATCTCTTGTAACAACCTGGCACTCCCGAAAGCTGTAATAGCTTATTAAAATGTTCAGTGGCTTTATCACTTAAGAACTGACAGATATACGCGGGCATAATGCTGCACCTATACCCAAACATCCTTAGAAAATAAAGCTAAAAAGCCTCAAAACCTCAGTTTTGAGGGGAACCAAAATAATGAAGGCCAGTTTCCCGCACAGTATTGATTTTGCATCTAAAAAAACACTGGCTGAAGATTTTCCTGTGGTTCTGGCATTTGTGAGCATTCTCTTATGTGAATTCTTCAGTGTACATTAAAACATGAGATCCTATTACAGCTTTTTTCCCCTCAGTTGTTGAGACATTTTCAGGTACTAAGCCACTTGAGCTGCTACCTTCTAACTCATCTTTCATTCCAACCCTTGGAGAGAATGGACAGCAAGCATACAGGCGCCAGAGCTTGTTTTCTCCCATTTCTGACAGCTGCCAGAAGCTGTCACAAAAACCAGTTCTTCAAAGACCACAGTATTCCCAGAGCAGGGAGAATCTTGGCAGTATTTTTCCACTGCATTCTAGGAAGCACACCTAAACCAGAGGTTTTTCAGAAGTATAGAATTTGACTGCATCCATGGCAGGGCGTTGGAACTGGATGATACTAAGGTCCTTTCCAACTGAAACCATTCTGTGATTTCAAGACAACTATCAAACAACAGCACCCTGCAAACATGGCAAAGTACAACACGTTACAATCCTACTGTAAAGCACTATGGACGCTTCGTAGCCAGCAGTAGTCACTTTTCCTTAATGTCACTGTACCAATGTAGTTAGCCCTCTTCAATCAACCAAACAACCTGGTGCAGGCAGCTGCCAGGCCAAAGTCTGGAAATAACGACTGAGATGTGACAAAGTATAATGGATTGTGCCAGACAGTCTTAGTTGGCACATGAGACTTCACAATATATAGTAACGGGAACTTTAATGGCTAACTTTGTACTTCTTTCATACATCAGGAAATAAGACTGCCAAGTTATCACTGCATCATGAAAAAAAAACCCTTCAACACATATTTAAAGTATAGCCATGACATTAAATGTACGTGCACAGAAACACGACAGATTATCGAGAGCGGTCCTGAGGAGGAGGACTTGATGGTGTTGGCTGATGAGAAGCTCCCCATGACCCAGCTTCAGCATGTGCTGGGTGCACCACCAGTGTGAGCAGCAGGTCAAAAGAGAGGATTTTCCCCTTGCACTGAGCTCTTGAATCAAGTCCAGAGGAGGCCATGGAGATGCTGCAAGGGCTGGAGCAGCTCTGCTCTGGAGCCAGGCTGAGAGAGCTGGGCTGGGTCAGCCTGGAGAAGAGAAGGCTCCTGAAGGGGAGACCTCAGAGCAGCTCCAGTGCCTAAAGCGGCTCCAGGAAACCTGGAGAAGGGCTGTGGATAAGGGCCTGTAGGGCCAGGCCAAGGGGAATGGCTTTAACCTGCCAGAGGGGAGACTGAGATGAGCTTTTAGGCAGAAGCTCTTCCCTGGGAGGGTGCTGAGGCGCTGGCACAGGGTGCCCAGAGAAGCTGTGGCTGCCCCATCCCTGGCAGTGCTCAAGGCCAGGTTGGACACAGGGGCTTGGAGTGAGCTGCTCCAGTGGAAGGTGTCCCTGCCTATAACAGGGGGATGATCTTAGGATCCTTTCCAACCCAAACCATCCCATGATTCTATGGTTAATGTATTTCCAGATTAAGTAACAAGGATATTTCCATAGTCTGGAGACAGTCCCAGCAGGTGTTTTTTTCTTTTTCCTCTTATACTCGAATATTGACATGAACCAGATGGTGACACCGAGCACTTGGTTACACACTGGAGTCACATTAAAGAAATAAAAAGTAAAAAAATTTTGCATATTTAGGGAGAAAAACCAGCACCGTTTCACACACGCACACACTTTACAGCACCTGGAACTACCTGCTCTGCGGCCTTCTTCTGGTGCCGGCCTCCCGGGCCCCTTAACCCCCTCAGCCTTACTTGACCCTGGCCTGAAGCGCTCCCAAAAGCCGTAGGGCCCAAGGTGGCAGCCGCGCTCTCTCGCATCACCTTTCACAGCCGGGGCCTCGCTCCGCCCCAAGGTGCCCGCTCCCCCCCGGCCACCCCAGCCCCTCTCGGACGCTGCCCCACAGCCGGGTGCCCCCCGCCGCTCCCTCACAACCACCTCGGTGCGGGCCCAGCACCTCCCGGCCGGACCACACCGCCCCTTCCCGCCGGAATCCCTGCGCCGCCCAGAGAATAGTCCCCGTCCTCCGCTGCCGCTCCCGTCCGCCGGGGAACCGGGCATCGCGGCGGTCAGGCCCCGGTGTCGGCGGGGAGAGAACGCCCTCCACCCGGCGAGCAGAATCCTTCCGCCGCGCCGCCAGGGCTCCGCCGGTATCCCCGCCTCCTCGGCTAGATCCGGCCGGGCCGGCGCGGAGGGATTCCCGGGGGCTGCGCAGCGTCGGGGGAGGGAGGGGGGAGGTGGGGGGGGGGGGTGCGAGGGGGGGAGGAGGCGCCGGCGCCGCGGTGGCCCGAGGGGGGGGCGGGGAGGGGGCAACATGGCGGCTCCGTATTAACTTCCCCCCCTCGGCAGCCCGCGCTGCCGCCGCTCTCCCCCGCCCCCCCCATGCCGGGCATGATGGAAAAGGGAGCGGAGCTCTTGGGGGGCAGGAGCCTGGCAGCCCCCAACGGCACCAAGAGCAGCAGCCCCTCCAACGGGCACTACTCGGAGCCGGAGAGCGGCGGCGGTGGTGACAGTGGCGACGAGCACGGTGCGAGCCTGGGGCCGCCCCGACAGCGGGGGAAGGAGGGGGGTGACGGGAGGGGCGCCGTGCCGCGCCGTGCCGTGCCGTGCCGCGCTGCCTCCCCCTGCCCGGTGCCGGCACTGCCGCCGCCGCGCGTCTGTGCTGCGGCGGGACGGGCCGCGGGGGAGGTGAGGGGAGGGGAGGGAAGGGGGGGAGCAAGAGGGGGGTGCGCGGGAGCGCGCAGCGCGGCCCCGCGGTGCTTAACGATGGGGAGTGTCTCCCGGGAGCCGCCGCCGTCTCCATTGTTCCGCTGAAATAACTCCCCCTTCCGCCTCCGGCCCCCTCCCCGCCGGTCGTCGGGGCTTCATCAGCGGCGGCGGCGGCGGGCGGGGCGGCGGCGGCGGCTGGGGGGAGGTGGCTTATTCCGCACGGCCGCGGCGGGGGCTCCCGGGCGGCGCGTCCCCAGCCTGCCCGGGCACAGGCACGGCGCTAATTTCTCTTCCCCCCCCTCCCCTTCCTTTGCGTTGCAGATGTAGGCATGAGGGTCGGAGCGGAATACCAGGCGCGCATTCCTGACTTCGAGCCCGGTAAATGGCTTCTCGGCTGTACCCTGACATCTTGCCGCCGCCGTTCCCGAGCCGGGAGGGATGGGGGTCGGTGCTGGGGAGGGCTCGGCTCGGCGCTCTCCCGGCGGCGGCCGCCGCGGGGCTGTGTTTATGCTGCTTTGCAGCCTTTGTGTTGGCGATCCGGTGCCGGCGGCGGGGCAGCGGCTGGCTCCCGGGAGCGAGGGCACCGCGGTGGGAGTATTCCCGCTCGGCTGATGGCGAATTCCCCTTCGCTGTCGGGCGCGTTGTGTTGTGTCCGGCGGGAGGCGGCGGAGCAGAAAAAGGTTGGATGCTTTTTATTCCCCCCCCCCCGCTTCTTAAGCCATAGGGCATGTCCTGTGTTAACCAGGTGACTTAAGGATATTCGCCGTGGGGAGATGGATGTTTTCGGGCAGGGGTGGGAAGTGATGCGCCTGCCGGAAGCGGAGCAGACCTGGCTGCGTGCTGGAGGCGCTGGGTGGAAGATGCGCTGGGTGGGAAACTCCTGCCCCTGGTCCTGCGTGCCGTAGTAGCCCCGCTCACCCCGCTGCTGCAGGCTGAGCCGCTCTCCTCCGCCTTCCTTCCCCCCCCTCCCCAGCCCCGCCCCGAGGAATACTGGGCACGTTCGCATTAGCCTAGTCCTCGGTCTTAAGCGAGTTGATGGCTAGAATGCTGCCTTGCGTTACTACCGCGAGCAGTGAGACCGTAGGAGCGTTGATCGGTTCTGCTGTAGTGGCCAGATGAAGCCTATCTACTTTCCTGTTCTCCAAACAGGCTCCATTGGTGTCAGATGATTTCCTACCGGAAGAGGATTGGGCCAGAGCTTCTCACATAGTGCCTCCTAAAGCTGGAGCGAGCCCCTCTTCATGGGCGCAAGTCCCCACAGGCCAAAGAAAAGGCCGGGGGAAAGAAAGGGGGAGGGTGGGATTAAATGGATGCGTGATCTTGGCATAAGGGAATGCCTCTTCCCCGAGAAAGGAGCGCGTAGTCGAGGTCTCTTTGTTAATAAGACTAACCGTTTGCACCCTTTATTTTTACGTTGCCTACATAAAAATAAACATAAATAAAAATTACCCTTTCTAATGCGTAACCCAGGCTTGTTTTTCCTACAGGCTGCTTAAATTCGAAAAACACAGTGTTTGTTTTTCTTTCGATTAAAAGAGCTCTTCACCCCTTTTAGGACAACTGAGGATCTGTGGTTTCAGTTTTGTGAACTGTATCTGCAATAGCATCATTGCATTTGTACCCACAGAAGTAATTTTATACTCTTTTATAACCAGATGGTTTAGCGCTCCTAAGTGCCCCGGGGGGGGGGTGAAATTCAACTGATGCTCCTTTCCCTAATAACTGCAATTAATACATACTGCTTTATCACTTTCCTTAAGGATGGAAATCTTTCTTTAAGAAGTCATGTGTAAGAAGCATAATGTACAGTAGTGTTGTTCTTAGTGTGCGTTTTGATTACTAGGGCAAGAAGGTGGTAACTTTTTTTTTTGGAACACCCAAGTATTATGGGGAAAAAAAGAACTAAGTCCATAAAGGGCAGAAGTACTGTACATATTTACTGTCTTAGCAGAGTGGTTATCTGAGAGCTCATGCTTTCCCCTTTTTTGTTATGAGTCTTGATGTGTCGTATCTTAGAGGTGGAAGTGATGCTGGGCTATAAGAGGTGTTCTCTTATCATAGGTATACTTGGATTACTTTTGTCCAGGGGGAGCAAATATTGTAACAAACACTCCGTTGTACTCCCAGGTTTGCATATATGGGCATAGGCACTATCTTTAACTAATTTAAGTGCTGTTTCTTCTCGCAGTTGCTTTAATGCCTGTTTTGAGAGAGTTTAACACAGGTTACAAAGTCAGCTGTGTATTACACACACAGAGTACTAAAACGGGTAGAATGACTACCCATCCTTTGGCCTCGCTTAGCCTGTGTTGAAAAATATTCATAAGCAGTGCATTGAGGAACAAAATGTTCGTGATTGAAGTTGTGATGGTAGTAGACTTTTTTTAACCTGAGTTCATGTATAAAATAAGATATATTTAACTTTTTAAAGAAAAAAGTGTGTCAGTTGTAAGGGAAGTAGCATTCTAACTGTCACCAGATACTACTGCAATGAGAGAAATTTTCTTACTGCAGAAAGCAGTTTTAATCAAAATCCGAAATTTCCTTGGTTTATTCACTCGGTAAATTAGGTATCGCCTGCACTCCAGGTTCCTATCTCCCTGCTCGTTTTCCTGTAGTACTTCATATTCTGGAGGTGAAACTGTTTCTGCCTGTACTTTCCGGCCCACCTATAGGTGCAGCAGGATGTTACAAAGCTGATATCTTTGTTATGGGCTGTTTGCGTTCTCTTGGGAAGCGTAGTGGAGAGTGCCATCACTGCAGAAGGACCATTCTGCGTGTGAAATAACTGCTGGAGAAGCTTTACTCTGCTCAGATTTGGACTTCCCGAAAGCTGTACTATGAATTTTGTTTGCTAAATACAGAAATACTTATTTCCCATCTGCCCCCTTCTCAGGGGTGAGCAGGGGCTGTCAAGAAGAACGCTCTGTAACTTTCAAGGTCACTTACGGAGTCCATTTCTGGGTACATCCTTGTAACTTTTCTCCCTCTAGTCTTCCTATATGAAAACAGGCTTCCTTAAATTGAAGTTATTAAATGGTGAGGTGAAGTACGTCATTTCTTCCACTTACTCCATGCAGTCTGACCTCACATTCCCTGATTATCTTTTTTATTTACTTATTTTTAAGATTTCCAGCCCTTTATTGTAGAAATTGAGTTCTTCCTTCCATTAGTTCCTGTGTTTGTGTTCATACTCGCAAAGCTTAGTCTTAAGCAGGGGATGATACTCTCTGTGCTGGCAAAGATGACGATACTTTCTACACCCGAGTCGTGTACAGAACAGCAGCATCCATGTGTACGTAACTTCTAAGGTTAAGCTGAAATTTAACAAGTGTCAGTTTCCTGCTACAGTTTCCCTATTCTGTACAGTTCATTCAAGTACAGAAACCTCTTCTGAGGTGGGTTGAATGTGGGGTTTGGGCCAAGGGAGGCTTGTCAGATTTGAGATGTAGCTTGCAGTCCTTCTCTTCCTTACTGGCTTACAATTCTACTCTTCTAACGTGCTTTGGTTAACATGTTGCCTGGTATTTTCAGCCGCTGTCCATAATAAGAATGGAATTTGCAGATGTAGATCATGCTGCCCTTGAGCTGAAACACAGCCTTTTTGCAGGGGGAGTACTGCTGACTTGAATACTTGGGGTACAAAGGACGAGAAGCAGTTCTTGTAAAGATAGATCATAGTCCTGCATGTGGAGATGGAGGGATCCCTGGGCTGTAGCTATGGACGTGCAGTGTTGACAGGATGCCTTCCTTTGAGCTCCCTGTGTGCAGCCCGTTGTCCTCTGTCATTCTTGCTTTCCTTTTGGCAGTGTGAAGATGCCCCCAGCATGGAAACAGTTGTCTGATCGTACTGGAGAAACAGCAATGCTTCAAAAAGGGGTGTCCTGGTGGGAGCTGTTTGTTAGTCATGTGAGACCGGCACCTGAGTAGGGGAGTCACATATGCCACTGCATATGTGATCTTCTGCAGGCACAAATGACAGGACCCTGAAACTCAAGGTTTTCATCTCATAATATCAGTGATATCTGCTTGTTCGCAGGTGTCTGTCCAGGATTTGGAAATAACTGAGGGTGTACTCAAGTTTAGCTGCTTCTTGCTCACAACCTGAAATTCTGATGCATTCTGTAGTGGTCCTGTGCTCATTTCTTAGTTAGAGTGGGGTACAGGGTAGCAGTCATTTACTTCTGATAAAAGCTGAATGATGAGAAATGTGAATGTGACATGTTTGCGTTATTCTTCATGAAGTATTACATTTCTAGTAAGTCCAGTTGGCATGCCTGTTTTGTTCTAAAGGAGAATGTTATAATAAGGAATTGGTTCTTACCCACCAAAACCCTTCGAGTTCAGTACTGCTTATGCCTTGACACTGGTGCTTTATGACTGTGTCCATTCTTAACTTACTACGGAGTTTAAGGTGCATTTAGATTATTTGTTGTAAGTGTCTCCTTTTGGAAGACACGACTTCTTTGAGTTTAATTACCTGGTTTTCAAGTTCACGGTCATAATGGATCTAAAGATTGCAAGGATGATAGCAAATACAGAAGAAGGCTGCCAGACTAAAGAGGGAAGAACAACAAAACACAGTACCTGATTAGGAAGCACTAAGTTCTCTTTTCCAAGGCACTGATTTGTTTTGTTCTGTTTCCTTCAACAAGATATAGAACCTAAATATAAAGTGTGGCAGCATAAAATGGCATGAAAAGTTATTTGTTTCACCAAGGAAAAAAACAAACCTGTCCTTCTCCAAGAAGGATACAAGAAAAAATTCCTCTGAGGGCGACTCCTCAAGGAATTCATATTGACACGAGCGTAAATGGTCCAATTGTTGAGCAATATCTTAGCAAGATAAACCGTTAAACAAATAGATTGTAAGCAGCTTGATGCAGTAGCATATGTTTGTGAAGCAGTAACAAAAATTACTTGGTGCTGGTCCCATATTGGGGAGTTTCCTTTTTTTTTCAGTATGTGTGGGTTTTTTTTAAATCAAAGGCAATGATGTAGTGCTTTGTATGAGGTTGCATCAGTATTGCTCCCTTCTCCTGATAGGTTAGGTAACTTGGACTGCTTTGCTTGCTACATTCAGGTGGAGGTGGAGAGCAAACAAAACAAGGTGACCACCCAGCCACCCACTTTGGTTGGCTGTGAATGTAAGAAGTGCATAGCTATGAAAATCAAAACTAGGGACAGATTCGCAGTTACTTTGTGCGTAGTTGTTAGGATCTTTCCTTGTTGAAAGATCGGGGATGGTGACTGTATTCTACCCTCTTACCTTTTTTGTCATCATTGAGCTTTCATTGTTGGGGGGTATTTGTTTTAAGGCAGCCTAACTTGACACAGTAGATCTTGATGCTCTATGATAGCGACAGATGTGCTGATAAAAATCTTCACTTCTGGAGGACTATTCCAGCACAAGTACCTGCACATTTTGCAGCCAGCCAGCTTTAGCAATGCACTATAATGCTCCCGTTGTGGTAAGCGTGATCCTGTCTAATAACCAGTTATAACTGAACCTTGTAAGAGTAGTGTTCAAATTCAGCTATTCACGAAATTCAGTGTCTTGAGGAAATAATGCGGCATTTTTAATGCCCTCTCTCCTCCCCCAGTAGCTAGGCTGGACTTCTTAATGTGGTTGACTTGTATTTACTGTCCTGTGAATAGTTGCTCTCAAGATCATATTTATAAATACTGAGACTTCCTTGTTTTCTTACAGGTGCCACAAAATATACTGATAAAGATAATGGAGGGATGCTTGTATGGTCTCCGTATCATAATATTCCAGATGCCAAGTGTAAGTCCTTCCCTGCTTAGGAGTTTGGATGCTCAGTTGTGACTAAATAATTGTTTCTGGTGTGCCTGTTCATTCTGGATTTTTACACACAGTGAAACTGCAAATAGTAAATTAAGCACAAAGCTTCTCTTCTATTTTTTGTTTAGAGAACTCCACGGAAAGGAAAGATCACCTTCTCTTGTTTTATAGTTAAGTCTTTGTTTCAAATCAAAGCCTGTGTTGATCTATCATCAGTGCCTGTAAAACCTTTAGTTATTAGTAAAAGAATAAAACATCTAAACATGCTCTAAATTGCCAGAAGAATTTGCAGTGGAAAAATCCAGAAAAGATGTGTTGAGGCCTCATTTAGGGGGGAGCTGTTATTGCTGTCTTATCAGGAAAAACTGAGCATTTTCTCCCTTCTGAAGTGATGGGACTCATCTGACTAAATGTGAACACTTACCTGTTTAATCTAGTTTAAACCTGCCTCCTGTGCTAGAATTTCCCATATGTAATATAGGGGAATAAACCTTGAGGATGCAGTCGTGCAAACCTGATCCTCAAGGACAGTTTCTGTCTGTTACCAGTAGTTGGTAGTTGAAGGAACGTACCTTCTACTGAAGAACAATTGGGAATAAAATACTCTACACCTCTGGTCAGTAAACACTTTAAACTGCAAAAGGAGTTGTGGCAAGGACGTCTCTGATCTGTTTGAATATTGAGGATATCATTATTTCCCTTTCTCAGTCGTGCTTCCTTTCAGCTACGTTCAGTTGCCCCTTAACTGGGAACTGTAGAAGGTGGAGAGTGTTTCTTTACAAATACAAGTTACCCACTGAAGATCAAAACTAGCAGGACTTGACTGCAAAGTGAGGGCAGGAGCCCGACACAAAGCTGGCTTTACTGTGGCCAAAGATCACTTTAAAAAATGGTACTGATGAATTTTGATGACCTGATTATTCAGTCTTAGTAGTCTCTATTGAAAACTGACTTTGTCCCATGGTTAAAATGAATGTTGCTCAGTGAAATCTATGAAATACCAAGGATATGCATGATCATTGATCTCAGATCTCTTTACATTAATTTTTAACGTGTTTGGGAATACGAACAGTAGAAGTAGTTCAATTTAAAACTCAGCCAGGTGTCTGTGTTCTTTGGAGTGAGTTCCAGGAAGACATAGCCTTTCAATAACTAGCTGGTCTCGGATTTAAATACATGATGAGCCTGTGTGGCTTTGTTGTGATAAAAATGTGAAAGAAAGTAGCTTTTTCACTGAGAATTGGCCTGTGTAAAAAGTCGGTATTAAATTAAAAGCGGTGGGTTTATTATTTTAAAGCTGTGAATATATGTAAGGGTTTGGGGGATCTGGGCCTATACAGTGTATTAAAGCATGGGAAGACCATTTTCCCGTGATAGATGGCTAATTCTGTGTCACCTTATAGCAGAACTGAAAGTACTAAAGAATAATTCTGACATTGCTTTGTTACAGTGGATGAATATATAGCAATAGCAAAGGAGAAACATGGATACAATGTGGAACAGGTAAGTGCCATGAAATGAGAGTGCTCTTTTAAAGGGTTCTTTTTAATGTAAAAGAATAACACAACTCTTTTCTTTTTACTCTTTTCCCCTTGGTTACCATTAATTAACGCTGTTTCTCTTCAGGCACGGCAGCAAACACTGCAGTTAAATGGATCTGCATACAGTTGGGGTCTGGAGTCTCTGCAAAAGATTGAGCTCTTTGTTTTCATGACATGCTCAGCTTGTAGTGTGCACTTTTGAAAAGGTTTGGTATGTTTCTTGATACACTGGGCATGTCATGCAATTGTGTGTGTATATTTAGTTAAAGAATTCCCTAGGAAAGCAGCTTACGAATTTCATGTTTAATATTAGAATTCAAATACGGTGCCGTTTTTAACCATTAAGTGTGGTAAGGACACCATTGGGAAGGTTTCTTGAGAGAGAGACAAAGCAACTTGGAGTGTTTTTTCAGAGGCAGGAAAAGAGAAATTCCAAGGATTGAGAAGAAGAAACAAGTTCACTTTGGGTTTTTTTTTCTAATAACCTTTAGTCACCATCCTGTCAAAAGTACAGGATAAAACTTTGCTGCTCTGCACTTAGTGCTCTTGTCAGTTTCTTCATAAGCTAACCAGTTTATGTAAAGGTGATACTACATATAATAAAGAAAATATTTGGTGTACCAATGGAAATAAGTGGTACAGTGAAGTTTTGGATGATGGAGGCTCATAATAGCAATGACTTGCTAGCCAACTGCTATCTGAAGGAGAAGCTGCCAGTATTGCCGTGTCCAGAATGCCTGCAGTTTGGTGATGTTTGTTTCTGGTCTGGCTTTTATTAGAGGAGAGAGGGAACTGAGGGATCTCAAACGAAGTCTGTGAAAAGGACCAATTTCCAAAATAACCTGCGGTACAGAATCTTTGAAACTGTTCACAGTGGAATAAAAGTTATCTTTGCAAGAGGTTGGCTGTCACTTGCCATTGTCACAGGAAAAGAGGTTTGCCATGTCCAGGTTATTAGGAGACGTGAAGCCAGGGGTTTAGAGAGCTGATGAACAAGTGGTCATCACGTCTGCGCTGTATCATAGATAGAACCATAGGCTGGTTTGGCTTGGAAGGGACCTTAAAGCTCAACCAGTTCCGACCCCCTGCCGTGGGCAGGGGCACCTTCCACTAGAGCAGGTTGAAACTGAAGTGTGGTTGAAACCTGAATGGATTACATTTCCAGGTGTGAGGCTTGGCTTCCAATCTGTCATTGATTCTCTGGCAGAAAGTCTAATCAGCTGTAAGGATATAAAGAAATTAAATTACATGAGAAAGTGCATTTAGATTTCCATTCCTTACTAGGTGCACGTGACATGGGAATGGCCGTGCTGTTGTTTGTGCATCGGAGAGCTGTAGAAAGAGCACTCTCACTTTGACCTTTCAGACTTGCATTTTGGATGATCCTCTGGCTGCTGCAAAGTATTTTTGTTTTCTCTTTCGAATGGGCTGGTAATAAAGGCCTGAAGACCTGTAAGGAGCTGTGTAGGTGATACCTACTTGTAAAGGAAGAAAGCAGGTCAGATTTGAGCCTGTCAGCCTAGTTCGTGCTGGCTCAGAATTACTGCTGCCATGCCAACCTTAAATTGCCTGGCTTTCGTACCTTTAATGAAGTACAGATGTGCCCACTCTTCATATTGTCTCCAAAGAGAGTTCTGTAACCTATAGCGCATAGTCAGATGAAGTTGTAAATACGTTTTGAGAAGGGGTTCCGGCAGTCAGGTTTTGCTTTAAATAAATAAATTGCCTTTTTTCAACTTGTCTCAGCATTTGAGAAAGTTGACTAAATCCAAAAAGGGGCTGTTTCTTTTCAAAGGCTCTCGGCATGCTGTTCTGGCATAAACACAATATTGAGAAGTCCCTTGCGGATCTGCCCAACTTCACTCCTTTCCCCGATGAATGGACAGTTGAAGATAAAGTCCTGTTTGAGCAAGCATTTAGCTTCCATGGAAAGAGCTTTCACAGGATCCAGCAAATGGTAAAGTAATACTTTAATCGGAAGCATTAAACAGTTCAGAAGGCCTAAGAACTGAGGCTCCTGTTGGGTTAAGTCTCATGATTTCTGTGTGAAAGCTTCAGGAACAACGGTGAATGTAAGATTTAAGTTAATTTCATCGTGTCCCTTGGACCTATAGTTTTTTCCCTCTAATACAACCTCTTCTTCCTTTCTCCGTTACAAATATACCAAATACATCCCTCCTTTCCATCTCATCCGTGCATTTAAGATATTTGGGTAAAGGTGGTTATAAAGAGAGCAGAATTACAATCTTGGGGTGTGATTTCATTGTAACACATATTAATGTATAATGAATTCTTCTAGCTTCCAGACAAGACTATTGCAAGCCTTGTAAAATACTACTATTCTTGGAAAAAAACGCGCTCTAGGACAAGTTTGATGGATCGACAGGCTCGGAAATTGGCTAATAGGAATAATCAAGGTGACAGGTAAGTTTTAGGCTCTTAAGTAGCTAACTAGAGTAGGGACATCAGGGTAATTTCCATCCACTGTGTTTCAGCGTGAACCATATTTTCAGGTCTGAGCATCAGTTAGCACGGGGTTTGGTACCCGTGCTTTACGAGCTATATCACTCCAGTTGTTGGAGTTGGTTGTAACAGACTGAAGGGCTTTAATGGATAACAGTAAAAAAACAAGGGTTTAAAAAAAGTCTGGGAATGTGGTTTACAAATAATGCTTCATTCGAGAAGTCTAACCCTCTGTTTTGGGGGGGGGGGGGGGGATTTTCTGTGTTCTTTTTGCACTAGAATGGAGTTAAAACTGAAAGATCAACCACTATAAAGAGCTGTAGCAATTAGAATGCCCAAATACTGATTTCTAACAAAGCTTTACATAAAGTCTTATTTTAGGAGGCGTAGAACCACCATCAGTCAAAGGGAATTAGAGCTGAAAATGGTTTTAAATTGTCTTGAATAGAAGGAAATGACGTTTCCCCTAGTTACTATGAAATTGAAATTATACTGCACTTATAATACTGGAGTATTAGCTTACTTTTCTCTTTTTAAAGAGATTTTATAGGTTGAATGTGTAAGTAACATGATCAAGTTCACGTTGGAAAGTATGCTTTTACATCTTCAGAAAACTGTCTACCTAGAGCAAAAGTGCCTTATTCACTTATGTTATTAGAAAGAACTCCTGAAATCTAAAATCAGTATGCTTACTTGTGACCCTGCAGCTGAACAATCACAGAAGAAAATCAGTTTGCTTCTGATAGAGCATTTTTTGATCTATTTTTCAATAACTGGCCAATTTTCTGGTGTTCTTACATTCATTTATTCAGAAATCGTATTGTGTGAATCACCTGATTGGACTTGACTAAACTAACTGTTATCTTTTCAACCTTTCTGATTTAATTCAATAGATTTCATTCCCAGTTACTAGATCTTGAGCACTTTGGTGACAAGCAGTCCTGTGTTTTCCCATCTTACGTTGTCCCCTTTTGCTCTGCACAGGCTAATGTGGCAAATGAAAGGTTATCTGCAGCCTTGGTATAGTTGACCACGTAAGCGTTTGTGCTGGCGCAAGTGGTTGTATTGAAAAAAGGTGACACCAAAATATTCTGGCAGAGCAGTACCACCTCTGTTTAAAGTCATTTTGAAACTAGAGTTTGGGATTGCTTGTTCAGCATCGTAATTACTAGAATTTAATAGAGGAAATATGTTTGTAACAGTTCTCTCTTGAAAACTACAAGTAACTTTGGGGTGCGGTATACTTGGAGACTTCTGGCTTACTCTGATACATGTTTATATTTGGCCTTAAAAAACAGATAAAATGACCAGCTTCTTATAATATCTCTCCTCAGTGATGATGATGTAGAAGAAGCTCATCCAATGGATGGAAACGATAGTGATTATGATCCCAAAAAAGAAGCCAAAAAGGAGGTAACAGATAGCTTAACGGTGAATGTCAGTTTGTTTGTTTTCTGTCAATGTGATACCACGGAGAGCCTGACTTGTAGTGAAGAGGTTTAGCTTGTAGCCTGCTGGAATCACAGGGGTTTTAGGGGATCAGCATCTTGACAACTTCTGATAGGTGAAACAACATTCCCCCTCCCTCTGTCCTGTTAATGTGCTGACAGTTTTACTAGTTAGGAATTATTGAAATCTAAATGGGGGGTTTTTGCCTTTCAAAATTAAATGATGTTTTTCCAAGAATAACCTTTTCTGTTCCTTCAAAGCCACAGTGAGGTGGTGCTTTTCAACTAATATGTGCCTTCACTGGAATGCTTTCTACTAAGAAATTTAGAGACAACCATTAACGAGCACTTACTGTTAGCTTTACGGCCAAGTGCTACGTTTGGGGTATGTTCAGGTTTTGTTCTGGGGGGGGGGGTGTCTTTTGTTAAATCCTCTTTATGAATAAGACTGTAAAACATCTGAGTGTGTAAATGGTCATTTCCTTTATTAACTTAATGAGCTTGTGATTTTCCTGCAATGGAACAGTTCATGCCTCTTGAGAATGTGGGAGGAGAGTAGTAGTGCAAACCCTCAACATTCCCATGAAGTGGTACCTATGATTATTAATAAAACTTTGCAGTTCTATCAGAAATGATGCTGAGTAAGAGACTGAGAGGTTTAGATTCAGTTCTCAGCTTTGCAGTGACCTTCAGTGTATTGCTTTATCTCATGCCTCAAGAAAGGCCAATTACAGTTACTCCTTTCTGTAAGCAGAGCTTTTTAAGTTTTTTAGCATGCCAGGATATTGCTTTGAAATGGCACAAGGCCTAATAATGAACCTTTTTACATTTCAGTCCACTGTTGTAACAATGTGCTTGCAATCTGTTGATCTGAGTTGCTGCGTAAGCCGCTTCTAAATAAGGGCTGTTTTGTTCCATTTACTTTCCTTGCTTATCGTTAGAATTGCTACGTGCGGTCCAGAATGAAAGTAGTTTCTTGATAGATTTCTAGGAACAGAACTGCACTTTCTGATGAGCTGTTTGGATCTGTGTAAGATAATTCTGTGATCTAATATTTGCGGTAGGATCTGTGTGCTTTCAGTTTCTTAGCGCTGTATAAACTAGGTGGGTTACTTGAATGTGCAGAGCGATGGGAACTTTGCTGCCAGAAAAGACTAAACCAAGCCAAACGCTCTAGTGTGGCAAGACAAAAGCTTGGGAGAACATTGTCATCTTAAATCCAGATTGAGCAGACAGGATCTGCAGTTTCATACTGAAAGAGCAACCCTGACCCAAAACCCAAATGGCATAAATGGTCCAGAAGCGAACTTAACCTTGGGATTTTTAGATGTCAGAGGTGTAATGCTCTGTGTCAACTTGACAAAGAAGAGCAAGTATCTTAAGTGCAAATATCTTAAATGGCCTCTACGAAGTCCCTGGACTGGATTAAGATGTTACATTAGCTGGGAAGAGAATGTGGCAGAAGGTCAAGCATAGTAGAGCAAAAATTACTGTTTGCTGATCCATACTAATAGTAGAGAACATTAATAGTGGCTGCTGCAATTTGTTTTCTCTTCGTGGTGATCAGATAACCACCTCCTCTTAACTTGCATGGATGCCAGCGAGGAGGAGCAGTAGGGAGCTGCTTGAAGTAGCAAAAAGCCTGAATCCCATCTCTGTTCTGGTACTGAGCATTACTTTTCCTGCAAGGGTTTTCCAATTCAAAGCAATTTTTGCTTCTGTAGACCTGCTTTCTAGGAATCTTAAATGGTTGCTCTATGGGAGTCACATACATGCAGACTAGCTGTTGTGCAGCAATGCCTATTGAAAACAAAGCTGAACTTTTTAGGCGTCCAAACGTGTCAAACCAGCAGTTACAAAGCCTTCGTCTCCTCTTTGCTATCCCTTTCCACTTCAGAAAGCAAACAAGAAACGCTTAAGTTTGCTAAGTTGCATAGATTTTTATAATAACTGCCAAAGTACATCCATCCTTTCTGTGCCAGACCTCCAATCCCCTCCCAAAGCAAACAGCACTATCACTTACCATAGAGTGCTTACAGCAGGGAAAAGTGTCATCTTGCATTCTTGCCCTTCGTGGTTGACTCCGAGTCTTCTTTCTTCTCCCTTGATCTTCCCCTGAACTCTTCATATCTGATCAGAAATAAATGTGTAAATTCACTGATTAGTTTGTTTGAACATGTAATATATATGTATGTATTCTTCTGCTTCTATAAGGAGGTTCTCAATTTTTGCCCTCTTCACAGTATTCAGGCTGTGTTTTCTATGCCATTTATTGTGTTATCAGCCATGTTTAGAAAGCTTTGAAAACCGGCCTTTCTAAGACTTAATGCAGGCTTATCCAGCAAATGCTCCATCAGCTCATCTGCAAGTCTTAGCATGGATACTACGTACAGAGGAGGATGTTAGCTTAGGTTATCTTTGTCATAAATACGACATTAAAATGCTGTGTGATACTTTATTGAAGTTGTTTACAAGATACTGTTATTCTTTAATGATTTATTTCTTGTAAATTAAAGGGCAATAATGAGCAGCCTGTTCAGACCAGCAAAATAGGTCTGGGTAGAAGAGAGTATCAGAGCTTGCAGCATCGCCACCATTCTCAGCGTTCCAAATGCCGTCCACCAAAAGGCATGTACCTGACCCAGGAAGATGTGATAGCTGTTTCCTGTAGCCCCAATGCAGCCAACACAATTCTTAGACAGCTGGATATGGAACTAATCTCATTAAAGCGACAGGTACCATGGGTTATTGGTCTTGTTTTGTTTTCATCTCAGATTGTTCTGATTGTAATGATTTTGAAGATTATCTGTGAAGATTCTGAAACTTCTTTAATGTGAGTCTTCCCAACTTTGTTATCACCAGAAATGCTGGACGCTACCCGACTAGCTGTTTGTTGGTTATGGTTTTTATGTTACTAACATGGAAAAGGACGACTTCCTTTTCAAAAGAAGGAAAAAGAGGGGGGGTACGGCATGAAAACAATATTACAGGGTTGGGGACAGGAGAAAACTAAAGTCGCGTTTGATGTGATTTATGTTAACTTTGTTAAAAGGATTTGTGTAACAAGGGAGAATAAGACCAAGGTATCAGAGGAAGTTACATTTATTATGCTTAAAATTGTAGCTGTTTCTCTGGATGGCCTTCCCCACATACCATGGGGAGGGTGGGAGCGGGGAGGAGATCATGGACGTAGTTATTTCTTTTGTTTGAGCTTTCTAACTCTTAACCAAATTCAGAACAGCTTTGCAGTCCTCACCTTTTAAGAGGACAACTGCCTGCCTCCTTTGCACGAAGAAATGAACTTTGGCACTTTAAGTTGAAACGCAGAATGTGTTCAGCTTCTCAGGGTACTGCAGTATGTGCACGCTTGCTTTCTAGGAGTGATGGGGCTACAAAGTCAAGGCTTATCTCCTGGAATTTCTGCCTCCTTATAGATCGCTAAGAGCTGCCATGTTGCAAAACCATGGAGTGAATAAAGGCTTTCCTGGGGTTTTTTGCTCCCTTGTACTCTTTTACAGGAGAAATATGCTTCTTTCTGTCACAGCAGGACTCGGGGGCTCAATAGCATAGGTGGGTTTCGCTTTTTAGCCTAAGTGTAGGTGAGTTAGAGCCTTGAGGTTCTGTTTCTCTTTTTTTTTTCCTTGCAGTGATCTCAGAGGTGCAGCCTTTGGAATCTCCCACTGAGTTGCCTGCTTTTGTGTCCATACTTAAGAACACTTGTAATAGCTGTGCACCATAGTATGCAAACTTATTTTCTTACCTATGTTACTTGATACGTATCATATACCTATATGAATGATTTGGAAACTCTCTCCTTTTTATAGCCCAAGTTATTTTATGTCAGTACTTCAGATCATTTCACCCTGAAAGGAAATCGTGTTGATCTAGGGTCAATAAAAAGCAGTCTTGTGAGAAGGAACCAACTGGAAACATCTTGTAAACCTTTCTTCCCCTCCCCTTAAGTGCTTTTTTGGAGAAGGAAGAAGTTCCTGTATGCAGGACATCTCACTTGGGTTCCCAAGAAGCACATTTTGTGTCTCGAATACTCTGCATTCTTCTTCAAGAACACACACGCATGGTTATCAAAACTTGCTTGTTCTGTCCTCCTTGGAGTACTCCTGCAGACAAACTGTTCTTTTGAAAGACTGCCTTAAATATTTTTCTCTCCATAGTAAACTGTGCTGTATTTTTTGAAGTTGATTTTTTTTTTTTAACCACTTAAAAGTAGTGAAGCCTTAAACCATAATATTTCTCTTTCTAACTTAGGAGGTACACTTGTGGCAATCCTAGTGAAGATATATGTGTAAAGTGACCAACTTTCTTTGTGGAGCTGATTAACTTTGTTGTTTTTGACCAAGGTTCAAAATGCTAAGCAAGTAAACAGTGCACTTAAACAGAAAATGGAAGGCGGGATTGAAGAATTCAAACCTCCTGAGGTAAATCACAATAAACCCTAGACCTTGTGGCCTTGCACTTGCATTGCTAGGAAGCTGCAGGAATGTGTTTTGCTGCAGCACAGCGTTTGCATTTCAGCAGCAGCTTAAACAGGATCTATTGAATTACATGCAGGGGTGAGTCTGGCTTCTTTACAAGGAATTAGTGGTAGGCTTTTCTTATGCAACTGGCTGAATAAAGAACCAGAAGAAAATGGAATGCCATGTGTATTCAGGAGAACAGGGAGCTAACATTGAGCCCTGATGTATGGGTTGCGTTGGGTTTTTTTCCTGATTAAAAGTAGATTATGTAGATTGCTAGCAGTAAATTCTATGTTCTGTGTGACTGTACATATATTTGGGCATCTGAAGTGAATGACTTACTACTACTGAACTTCTCTTTTTGCTTGTTTTAAAGGCTTGGCTATGAACCATAACATGAATGCAAAACGCTCCAGACACCAAGTCCTAATAGTTTAGAGAAATGCAACTATAAATTCGGATTCTGTCTGCATAAAGATCATTAGCTTGTGCATTAAGTTATGATGTAGCTGATACTAGGAACTGCAGTAAAACAGAGGAAGGACTCTTGGTGTAGTTCTAAGCTTAAATCATTAAATGCTCCTTCCTCTCTCTTCGCGAAAGCAGTCTTAAACCATAAATTTATGGTTTCAACCACGAGATTTTTACCTATGTTGCAAAGTGTAGTGCAAGCAAAACACATTCTGATGCTCAGATGTTATGCAGCTGTTGAAACGTTTTAATGACCTTTCTGCCATTTTTCTAATTTCAATAGTCTAATCAGAAAATCAATGCCCGTTGGACCACAGAAGAGCAGCTTCTTGCAGTACAAGGTATGTTAACAGCAGTAGTGGTTTGAAATCTGATGCAAAGGATTTGAAGAGGTACTCGGGCTTACGCTGGTATTTCCCTCTAATGAAAAGCTGAACTTTATCTGGTCTTACACGTCAGTCACTGGGAGAACAGCAACATTAGGGAGAATACTTAGGGCATTCATTCAAGCAACACGACGCGAGTCTTTCAGTTACCCATATGAAATCTTGAATAGAAAAGCTAAGCTGAGTTTAACAACTGTGGTAATACCAAAAACGTCCCTTCAATCATCTTCTAAATCACCTTACATTAATTGCTCTAAAGCGGAAGGCTGAAGTAATAGTTCAAGTAATAGAACTTGAAGCAGACACTTAAGACATCTCTCTGTATTCTTAAAGCAGAAAAAAAGCAAACGTAAAACTGCTTTACAGCTTAATTTTCTCTGTTCATGAGGGAATAAAGAAGCACATAACGTACCCAGTGGAGGCCTTTTAAGAGTCTGGAGCTGGATATGGATACTTGGCTAACAGTTGTACTGGAGAAAAAAATGTTTCCTAGTAGGCTACTGAAACCACTAATTTGCAGTTATTTCATTTGTGTGAAGGAAAACTGACTCTTGCCTTGCTTTAACATGCTCTGCCTAACATGCAAGGGGGATATCTGGAGAGCTTAACGCTGTCTTCCAAGGCACTACACATTGACTCCTATGGATCATCTTTTTTAAGATCATATAATGAGCTCAGTTATACACATCTGCTTGCTTTCTCTGTATTTTATGCCTTTCAAATGGAAAGGCTGAATTTTAGTATAAAACCTTTGGCTGGATCAGGATATCAGTGTAAAGTTGTCAGGTGTACCGTAACTGGTAGTTATTAGCTGGATGACCGAACCTCAAGTTAGGTTAGTTTTGAGCTGCAAATGGAAATGCTGTGTCTGAAGCCAGTGTGCTTCAGACACAGCATGTTGGAGGCAATGCTCTCAACATGCATGCCTCAAACTGGGATTTGCATCTCCAAACCGTTTTCTGTCCTAAGTTCATCCTCTCAGTACTGCCAAAAAGCTGTTGGTTGTTTTTCCTTTTGTCCCCCAGTGCAGCTGAAGGAGATGCCTGGTTTTAATGTGATAGTCTAGGAAGTAGAATGTTTGCTGGAGAAGTGGGAAAAGTCCAGGTTCATTGTGCCTGCCTTAGCATGGAAGGATTGAAACCATCTTGCATTTTCGTAGTTTAGTTATTGGAGCTCTCACTAAACGTCCCTTTGAGAAGTGATAAGAGCGCATTTAGCCTTTGTTAAGCTACAGCACTACGCGACCCACAAGGCAGATTATAAAGCTGGCGCATGGACAGAAGAGAATGAGGGTTGGTGAGGACTACTTGGAGAGGAGTTTTAGTGGTCTGGTCTCTTTAGGGAGTGTTTTGTGTTCTATAGAGGTAGTCAGCCTCAGTCCTTAAGGCTGGGGTGATCAGGCCTTCAGGAGAAACCTGCTTTCATTGAATTTACGTGTGCTTGTGTGTATTGCTTTCTTTTTAGTCCCCTTCCTTTGCCAGTGTATAAAATGGAGATGGGCAAGAACCTTAACACCAGGAGCAAAGTATTCAAAGTATTCCCACCCTTACCTACTGCCTGGTAATAGTCTCCTTCCTGGAGTGGCAGTGCTGTAGGTATTAACCTCCTGTCCCTTGGGCTAAGGACTCTGATCTCTTACTTCAGAATAGATGCTTGAGCTAGCAGACTCTTCTGCATGAAGGAGCCACATTGCCTTTTGCCCTGCCTGTTTTCAGGAGCAAGTAGCCATGGGTGCTGTACTAAAAGCTACAGTGATGCGCGTTAGGCTTGAACTTGGAGGTTTACTTGAGCATTGGGACATTCAGTTTGTACATTCAAAACAGATTTATTTCATCAAAGTATTGATACATTTTGGCGTGTGCTTTTAATAATTGTACAGAAATCATAAGTATTAAGCAGGTAGGTGGCATTTCTGTGATTTGTTCACTTGAAGCCAAGCGTGGAAATCATAGCAATGATTTGCAGTAATACAGTTTTGGTACTGTTTTTCCTGAATGTGAAATAACTCCTGTCATCTATGGGCTGATCTCAGGAGATTGGCAGTAACCAAAGAGGAGGGAATGGAAAAACCCCCCTTAAAATAGAGCTGAGTGTCTAATCTTAAAAGCAGTGTGGCTGCCTGCAGTTGGGTTGTGGACTCAGACTTACGATGTCTGAGCTGATCTCCTGCAGTATAATTTATCAGTCCCTGGTCAACTTTGCCCTAATAGTTATTGAATGTAACGGGCCAGTTCATCACTTGAGGTTTTCTTCAGTTACAAACTTAATTCACATACAGAAATGTGTAAGCACAGTCTTTTCAAAGTAAGACCTCAGCCATATGAAAATTGCAATTGGAAAAATGTTTTAAGACTCAATGAAAACAACTGAATTTAAACTGAAGAGCATTGCAGAGGAAAACAGTTGGGACAACCAGGATCTAATTCTAACTGGTACAGGAGTTGCCAGGAGCACAGTAATCCCATCACAGTGAAACTGCATCTCTCGTAACCCAGAGGCTGCCTGTTTCTGCCTTGTTGCAGTGCAGTATTGTATTGCTTTGGACCCAGGCTGAGGCTTTCTGTGCCTCTCAGTGTTTGCTGTGCTGCACAACATTAAGAAGCGTAGACAGCTTGGATATGTGAGTTTCTCCAAGGTAGGCACACAAGATGAAGCACTGGAATAGCGAGCGTGCACGTGATCAGCTACACCTTATGCACCTGGGTGAAGCTCTGAAGAGCTTGAATTATTCCCATGGTTAGGGCTACTTTCCAGTGAGCTGGGAGAAAGACATTCATACATGTGAAGCAAGGCTATACAGTTGTCTTGTTTTGAGCTTCACTTTCAGCAACCTAATAAAATTATTCTTGTGGATAACAGATTAAGCACCTTAGAAGTACCTCTGCATGGTGCTTAGCACACAATTTATATAAGGATATTTAAGTAACGTGCACCCGTTTGAAAGGGATGATGGCTTGGCATCAACTCTTACACATATGCCAGCACCTTATGCATCAGACTTTCATAAACATGTATGGAACTTTCTCTGTTCCTGATGCAGCTTAAAAGGATTTTGCTCCATCATTGTGGTGGTGTAGTCACTGATGATGCTAGAGCAGTACTAAATAGTGCTTGAAAAAGAATCCAAAGTGAGCAGTGCTGTGTGTAGCTAAACCAAGGAAATGTTATTTTCTTTAGCTATTTCTCATAGTTGGGCTCTCAGTGAAGGCAGTGAAGACAGGATACACTGTTGGGAATAGGCTTCGAGACCTTGTTTTTGACAACTTTAGTTGAAGTTAGCAAACAGGCTCAGTCGTTTTACAGTTTAGGGGGAAGGAAGAAGTATAGACAGCATAGTAACAAAGTGCTGAAAACACCTAAAATCTGAAGGAGGTTTCAAACAAAACTATTTTGTTTTGCTGGGTGCTTTGTTCACTTGGTAACTTGTACAGGATGTTAGATACCTCGCAGTGGCAATTTACTGAGCAAGTTAGTAAGGGTGGTAATGGTATGAAGAATATTCAAACACTGGAGGGAGTGCTCTGTGGGCGCTCACAGCTTTTGAGGAGTATAGCTCATACCTTGTACAACTGATAAAGCACAGAGCCAAATCCCTGTCTGCTTTGTCCAGATGCGTGCCCTCCCACATGGCTCTGCTAGGTCCCTTTGTTTTCTTTCCAAGGTTCTTGCAGTCAGGATGGTTGGATTCTTTTGTATGCCCCAGAAAAGATCTTACATGTAGCTGGGCTCTGGGCAGCTGAAACAGCAGCTTCAGCTACAGGAATTGTTCCCATCCTGGAGCTCAACTTTTCCCTTAAATTGCAGTGAGTGTACATTACCACATGAGAAGTGCCCGTTAATGAAGAAAGTAGCAAAGAGCAGAAGCAGCACAATGAAGTTGGAAAGGAACATGGCTTTCAGATTCCACGCAACTCTCACTTTCTGAATCCTTTGCTTCACTTTCTGAAGTGAGGCATGAAATCAGGCATGAATTTCTTTTCCTGTAATGAGGCAGAGTGCCCATCCTCTGGGCGCTGTAATATGAATGAGCTTAGTTATCAAGAGCTTTCACAGAACAAGTCAAGTTGTCACTCATGCATAGCTGAGAGCAGAAAATGAGGCTTCTGTTTACTCAATCTGGGATTTCCTTTATTGGTCCCCAAATTTCTGGATGCTTGTGATTAAAATTATACTTTGTGCAGCTAAAAGCTGTGTTCTGGGATGGTGCAGAGTTTGAGGGCTTTTTTCTTAAGCAGGAAGAGGAGGATCTAGATACATACCCTAAATACAACTGAGTAAATCAGTAAACTTTGTCACAATTCCAACTTTAGGGTAAAAACAGTGGAATATGGTACTTGAGGGGGGGTTGTGTGTTACGGGCAAATGTAGTTTTAGAACTTTGTATGTTGTGATTTTTTTTCTTGTGAACAAAAGTGACCTACTGATGTCAATATGGAAATGAAGTAAGAATGATGTAAAGATCTTTGTCCTGGAGGCTTGTGCTGGGCTGTCTTATAAATACACATCAATAGCTTATATATTTACTTATATTCCCCAAGGTGGTTGTCCCAAAACCCCCGGGTCTTCTCCCAGCTCAGATGGTGAATGAAAGCTTTACAGAGCCTTTGCCAGGTGAATGCTTGCCAGTTGCTCTTCGTAGCCTCAGCAGAGCATGTCACAAGTTGGGGAATGAGCAGTATATCGTGACTTACGGAACTGTGCCCCCTGTGCTTGCTCCAGTAGCTGCTGCCCTCTAGCACTCCTGCTGCACAGACTGTGGGCAAAGAAACATCTGTGTGCAGCTGGCATTGAGGGAACCTGTAAAAGCTGTTGGTATTTGTCCCTTGACGTTTCTAGTGTTACACCCCGTACACAGCAATGCTGCTGTGTTACAACCCCGTACACAGACTGTACGTGCTCAGTCACCCTCCCTCTCCATCTTGAACTTGCCTTGGGCTTCTGCCCTCACTGCAAGCATACCGAAGGATATACTTTGTTTGTCAGAGGCCAGATCTCTGTGGTTTCAGGTTGGGAGGCTTGGTGAGTAAGCCAGGATCCTTGAGTAGAGTGGGTAATAATGTTTTAATAAAGCTCTTGATTTATATGTTCATAGCTGTGTGCAATTAAAACTTACTTTGTTTTTATGGAAATTGAGGCCTTCTCCTAATTGAGAAGTCCTCCTAATTAGCGAGTCCTTGGTTTGCAGGTCCCATAGGTTCTCTCTATAAATACATCACACGTAGCTGTGTCTGACTGATCCTTCACAGCTATGTTATTTACTTTGCCTTCCAGGTGTCCGAAAATATGGTAAAGATTTTCAAGCTATTGCAGATGTAATTGGCAACAAGACTGTTGGCCAAGTGAAGAACTTCTTTGTAAACTACAGGCGTCGGTTTAACTTAGAGGAGGTATTGCAGGAATGGGAAGCGGAACAAGGAACCCTGGCTTCTAATGGTGATGCTTCTGCTTTAGGGGAGGACACAAAAAATACTTCTAATGTGCCATCAGGAAAGAGCACTGATGAAGAAGATGAGGTGTGTTTTGTGTACCAGAAATAAGTAAGCATGGGTTGAGGAACAGCATTTATTTTAGTGATATAATGTAAGGTTAACTGGTGTGGAGTGGCAAACCGCATTCTAAAGAATGATGATGAGCTTGCATAGAACTTCAGCCAATGTCGTTAACCAGCTGGGAGCAGGACTGCACCTTGCATAGTGACGATCACGTTACTGTTTTACTGTTAAAATACACTTCTTGTTCTAGAAGAAGACTCTTGCTTCGTAAATATTTTTAGTTCTGCTGTCTATAATGTTTTGGTTGGTGATTTCTTTTCAGTAACTTCTCAGTTTTTTGGTTTTGTTTCTTTTAAATGCTGTTTCCTGTGTAGTGGACAGTGGCAGCCCAACTGCATCGCGTTCTGGCCGGGATGGCAGTTCACGTAGTCTTGTCTTTGTCCTTTGTGCAGGCACAAAGCACTCCGGCCACTCAGTGTTTAGGCCCTTCACCTCCAGCGCAGGCATCTGCTCCAGCACCTACCGCTCCCATGGCAACTTTAAATCAGCCTCCCCCGTTACTTCGTCCGGCGCTTCCTGCTGCTCCTGCCCTCCACCGGCAGCCTCCGCCGCTCCAACAGCAGGCACGGTTCATCCAGCCCAGGCCGACCCTAAACCAGCCTCCCCCTCCGCTCATCCGCCCAGCTAACTCCATGCCTCCTCGTCTAAACCCACGGCCCGTGTTAAGCACGGTTAGCGGCCAGCAGCCACCCTCGCTTATTGGAATTCAGACAGAATCTCAGTCCACTCTGCACTGAAGAAATAAAGCAGAATTCTGCTAACTCCTACATTTGGAAAATCGGATCAGTGTACTTTTTCTTTTCTTTGGTTTTTTCCTGTTTCCAAACAATGAAGGGGAGAAAAGAGCAAGCCTTCACAGCTACCTGACCAGTCCTACAGAGGAGCAAGCTAATACCTACACGGGAATGAGCACCCGTATAAAAGTATTTTTATGTCAGACTTGTACAGCAGAACAATGCCTCCAATACAGCCCTCCTCTCTATGAATACCTGTTGAAGGAAGCTGACTTCTTCAGTGAATAAATGTTCAACACACCAAGATTTTGTTTAACTGATTTTTACGCTATTTATTTTATTACAGGTCTTTGTAGTCGAGCATCTAACTACAGGAAAGTAGCCTGGCAAATCTAGGGATAGATAATCTTGTAGGAGACTTAAATGTAGCTTTGGGGGGTTTGTTTGTGTGTGTGTGTGTGTGTGTGTGTGTGTGTGTGAATTTCTTGGTTTCGTTTTTTTTTACCTTTTAGTGCAAAAACAAGAACGGCCTTAGGTTCTGAAGTTTTGGCCCTGTTTAGATAACAGTAGAAGCATTTTGCGCACCTGGATAACGTAGATGTTTCTTCTCTTTGTGCTTTTCCCAGAACACTTTTCCTTGTTTAAAAAAGGTACTGTCTTGTTAAACACTCCTCTGAAAGAGTATTCTGAAGCCTCAGTGAGCTATTGTACCAAACTTGCTAAACCTCACACGTGTTCTACTCATGGAAGTTAACCGAAAGCAGGAATCCAGGTTCCTGCTGCAGCATCTCCTGTGGGCTGGGGTGGAGAGAGAGGCAGCAGCTTCCACCACCCAGGGGGGTGACAGGAGAGGAGCCATATAACAAGAACCATTAATTTAATTTATTCCACTAATTCTGCTAATTTAAGTACAGTAGAGTTTAACTCATCCGAGAATGGCTGCCTGTGGTTCGTGTATGCTAGATCATTGCTGCCTGCCGAAGCATTCATGAGGGAAGCAGGGAGGCTGGTGGTGGTAGCTGAATATTGCGGCGGCAGCTACCTGCTGCCAGCCCACTCTCGCTGTTAAATCATGCTCTGATTTCTGCTGCTTCTGGCAGAGCTGATTAGTCAGGTTGAAATTAGTGTGGGGTTCTTTGCTTTGTGTTACTGACCAAGTAAAACCTGCATTTGGGTATTAGTGCTTCCAAATTTTAGGAGATTGAAAGGTTTTCTTCCCACCGCATTCTTGTCTGAAACCTTGAGTTATGCCCAGCGGTGTTTTGGGAGTGGGGTTTTTCAGTTCTTTGTTCAGTCTGTTTTTTCTTGTAAGTAGATGCCTCTGCCCTCCAAGTAAACCAGGCTGCAGATCTTGAGTTTGTAAACTGTGTGATCTGAACCAAGCTACTGAAAAGCATCTCATTCTGGAGTATGTAATAACATTCATGTTGACCGCCCTACTGTTTGCAAAATTAGTTCTGCTTATAGCTGAAATGGTGTTTGAAAATCCTTTTAAATCCATTCTGTTATTAACTAGATTTGCCTTGACTGAAATGAGACTTTATTTGAAAGTGGAATGTGCTCTCCCTAGGCTTTTTCACAGATAAATTGGATCGTTTAATGATGAGTTTAGTGGCCGGCTGAGGTCTTTTTTTATGTGCGAAGGGAAGTTCTTACAGCGTCAGATGCTATTCCATTTGTAAATCGAGTATTAAGGTTTGATAGCTGTCCCTGAATTGCAGTGAAGGTATTGACCTTTATAGTTCAGCTCTTCATTTGAAAATGTTTTCAGATGAAACTGGAGAGATTTTTCTTTCTGAACAGCTTTCCCTGCTGTGCTGAGGTCTCGTACAAAAGGTCCTTAGACGTTTTCTTTTGCATCAGAGTAGAAGCTTAGCCACTACGTGAGCATCAGATGGCCAAGAGAAGCAGCACTGTACACCAAGCACTGAGGAATTCAGGGTCACTGCAGCTTGTGTTCTGGGAGTCATAAGTGTCTCCTTGTTAGCTACACAAAGCTGGCTGCTCTTCACAACCAGTCTGCTTCGTTTCGCCATCCTTAGTATCTCAGTTTAACTGTTAAGAGTGATAAGATACATCGTCAAGTTTTCTTCTCTTATTTTGTCTGCCTTTCTTTTTAGCATTGAGTCTCCCAGGTGTGTGTCTTGTACCTTTGCTAATTTTTGTCTCGTCTCGTCGATAGACTTCAGTATGCAGAACGTTGGGTGTTGCAGGAGCAGTTGGCCACCACCAGCTGCTCCAGAACTGTTCAGTACCTTGTGATTCCGTTTAATCTTGTTTAACTATTCGATGACTGGGCAAAGGTGCTGTATTTGACGGGGGGAGGGAGGGTCAGAGATAGGTAGTATTTCTTAATTTCCATACACTGTAGCACACAGTAGGCAACTCCTAGCATTTGTAGTACCAAGTAAGTATGTACATAGCAAAATGTCTTTATTGTGTGCTTTGCAGAATATGTGCATACAGTTTGCACGTCCTGTTCTTGGGGGGGGGGGGTAGGTTTGTTTTAAGCAGTGTCTGCCTGGAGAGTGATATGCTTGCTGCTTAATCAAAGGATTAAAGTTTCAAAGAAATCTGTGTCTTCTATTTTTATGTACCTTGTAATGGTCTAATATGTTAGGGCCCTTATACTGTGATTCTCTTCTAAATTCATTTCTATTTTTTTAAGAATTAGAAATAAAATTATACAATGGTGTTGATTTCAGTGGGGCATTTCTTTTGCCATCTCCAGTCGCCTGTTTTGTAATGTAGTAATGAACTCTTGACTTCAAGGTTGGCTTAATTTTGTCACTTTAAAAGAAAAATAATGTACAATGTTTGCACACTAAAGTTTGGCCGAGAACGTGTACCCTACATTGTTCAAAGCTAATGTAACTCTACAGCTTTTTGTACAGTTTATTTTAGTTAATAAAGCAAAACGGTACTAAAGAAAATGCCAGATTTTACAAACGCCAAGGCATAATCTGAATGATGTCTTCTAGGACCAACACTTGCACCAGATGGATGTACAAGAGCTATCAGCTTGAAAAGTTGCCCTTTAAATCAGAATGGGTATGAAGTTTAAGCAAGTATTTCTGCGTTAATAAAACATCACACGTTGTAGTAAAGCAGCTTAACTTAGTTTACCGTTGATGTGAGCAGAAAGAACTACAGTTCCCTCTGTCCTTAGTTCATCTTTTATACTGTTGGGATTTATTCTGGAAGCTGCACAGAAAAGAGAACCCAAACCAGCAGCTTACAGACGTGGGAGTTTGTGTATGAATAGGACAGAGCTGCAGCCGTGAGGATGAAGGTTCAAACAGCTATGCTGTGCCTCTTACTAGCACCAGGAAGGAGGAGGCTGCAAGTTGCAGCTGATGCTAGGCAGAAGCATGGAGAAAAGCAAAGCCAGGGTGTCAGGGCAAGGACAAACAGCTTGGAGGTGTTGGTTCGGAGGTGTGTTTCCAAATGCAAAGGAAACTCTAGAGGAGTGAGCTCTGTCGCAGCTCCAGTGCAAACCATCCACTGGGACCTGCACCGAGTACAGCTTGCTGGTGTTAATGCGAGTGGTGAACCTCCAGCTTTTTCCTGAGCTGGAAATAGCTGAACCTCACTCAGCGCCTGCCTTTCTCTGAGCAAGCTGAAAGCAGGCACCCTTGCGATAGGCATCTGCTTTAAGGTCACAGGAAGTTGTGTGTGAGACGCACAAGGCAAATACGAACTCTAACACCACTTGCAGTCTGTTACTGACAAATTTGGCACCAAAAAGCTATAGGCAGGGAGGGAGGAGAGGCAAAACACATAGGCAACAGCATCTGCACTGTAAGCACATTGCTAAATTTTGTGACAGACATGCTTAAAACTGACACTGAAGCACAGACACACACACACACTGCTTCATTTTCAGCACTAGTGAAGGCTGCTGCTTTGCAATTCCCAGTTATTCTTTAAAGTGTTCTCCGCATAGTTTTGTACACTGAAATAATCGTATAAATCCACATTGTTATTGACTTGGAAGCTTGCCCTTGGACTGGCACAAAAGGGAGCACAGGGGTTCAGGGATGGTGATCCCTGCTGCTGCTTCCCCAGGGGCGGGACTTTGTCAGGATGCAAACCAGGGCTCCTGTTGTGCTCACTGGATCTTAATAAAACGGTGATTTTTAAAGGTCATGCCTGCACCCCAATATGCGATGATCCTTTTGGCAGCTCTTTGTCACCACTAAGCTCCATCCTGGGGAATGGTGATGTTCTGCAGGAGGATCATGAGTGCAGCAACTTGGGAACCAGATCCCATCTCCAAACTATTCATTTACACTTATAAATATTTACTTAGGGAAACCATGCTGTCCTGATGGATGCTCTTGCGAGCTTCCTGACCAGGTAGTAGTACCCAGGCTAGCCAGGAGATTCCTAAAAGCTTTGCAGGAGGGAGTGTTCTGAAAGCTCTTTGTTGCTGGAGCAGCCTTTACACCTTTGCTGGCCTCCCTGAATCAACGGAGGGTATGGTCTGACACCCTTGGCAGTGGCAGGTCTGAGTCGGTTTAGCAAAAGCATCATCTTTCTGAAACCGTTCTATTACTCTTAGTACTTAAGACAGCCCAGGTAACGCAGCCCCATTGTTTCTTTTTCATCTGCCTCAGGGCTTTTCGTGCAGGCTGTTTTCCTTACAGCCTGGTTTTCCTAGAAGGAGTTTAATGTGGAAGACGCGACAAAGCGCAGCGGCAGCTGATGGGCAGCTGATGAGCAGCGAAAACCGCATCGTGCAGTTTGTTGGCTGCAGGATGGCTGCGTTGGCAAACACCCCTTCGGTACGCCTTTGGTTAGCGGTAACACCGCTGTGTTTAGCAGGGGTCCGTTCGCTGTTTCAGTGCCGTCGGTGTGAACGGCAATAGGACAGTGCCTGCACCGGCCGGGCGCGGGGAGCCCCTCGCCACGGACCCCTCCCGGCTCCCCAACTTCCCAGCCGCGGGCGGGGGGGGGCTTTCACCCTCCTGCAGCGCCCTGCGGTGAAACCGCCGCTTCCCCCGGGCTGCCGTGAGACCGAGCGCGGCTCCCGGCGGCGGCACCAGCGGGGGGCGGCGGCACCAGCGGGGGCGGCGGCTCCAGCGCTGCCTCCGCCGCGTCCCCTCCCCTCCGCTGCCGCCGCGCACGGAGCCGCGCCCCGCGCAGCCAGGGCCGGCCCCGCACCGCCCGCGGGCAGCGAGCGCCGGTGCAGGTGCGGCGGGGAGCGGCGCGGCCGCGGTGCGCGGGGTCCCTGCTGCCCGCTCCGCAAGCGCGGGTAAAGGAGGAGCCTGAACTTGGTGCCCGCCGGAGCTCAGCGCGGTCCGGAGCGGTGCCCGTGCCCCGCGTGCTCCGGTGCGGGCTGGCCGCGGAAGCCCCTCTCCCCTCGCAGGACCCCGCACCGAAGCCGCGGGGAAAGGTAGGCCCGGAGCGCGCCTCGGAGGCGGCCGGGGCTGGGGTTTTGGGGGCTGAGAAGGAAACAAAGAAGCGGGGAGTGCTCGGGTGAACGCCTCTGCAGCGGCTCGGATCGCTTTAAATGGCAGGGAACCGGGACAAGTACCCCGACGGTGCCAGCCGGATTCTGCTGCCTGGGGGCGAGGGAATTTCCCCTCTGTGCGTGTGTGCGTGCAGGGAGACCCAGCCAGCCCCTGGCTTTCCCGGATTAGCAGCGCTCCGGGCGCACGCTGAGGCTTTGACCACTTTCTACACCCTTCAGGTTTAGAAGGGAAAATGTGGAGCTCCCGTTGTTGCACTTCTTGAGCCCCTTCACCTTTTGCTCGCTTGGCTGCACCTTCCCAGTGCCAGCCAAGAACAACTTTCCTTGTAACTTCCGTTTTCTAGCTATGGGATGGCTGAAAGGAGTGCGATACAGTGCTAAACCAGACGGGTGTATTCAGGTCAGGCGCGGCTCAGGCTGGCAGCGGTAACACGGTTGTATTTTTAAACCAGCCGATTCTATCCAGAGCACGTAGGCTGCGGGACTGAGGAGCTCTGGGATGCTCTGGTGCAGGAGCACTGGCCTGGCCATGCTGCGCTTCATCTTGTTTCATCTGCGCTGTTGGTTTTGATCCTAGGGTGAGCCGTGGTGGTCGTGGGCTCCGCTTGGCTTAAAACCACCCAGGGGCATTTCCTTTGCTGGATGAGCAGTTTACGGTTCATGCTGGGAGGGAGGGATGCGCCGGTGTGCAAGAGCCAATCGCGACCCTGTGCATCAATCAGTGTGATGGGCAGAAGCCAGCTGTTTCCAGCTGCGTGGCAAAGGAGGTTTACAGGACCTGAAGCAGAAGCTAAAACCCTTCAACACACTGTCCTCGCAGTAAGCACGTGCTCAAATACGTAACAAGGAGGTGGTGGAGCCTGGTGTCACCGTGTGGCCAGAGGTGAAACCAGGGATGAAGCCCTTCTACATCGTTGCAGGGAATCCGGGGCAAGAGAAGGGAGCCTAGAATAGGCTTTGAAAGTCAGAGGCTTTGGTGCAGTGGGGAAGTGGAGGGATGGCCAGAAAGGTGATGTGGCTTAGAAATCGATCCCTGTAGCAGCACCCTGGGTAGATAAACTGGCAAAAGATTCCAAGAGAAATGAGTGTTTGGAAAACCCGAGGAGGATGATGGTGGACAAGAGGTTTATTTGTGTAAGCAGACAAGCAATACCGTATCATATAGGGATGCGAAGCAGGAGAACTTGGTGAGACATACTGATGATTAATGCTTCAAGCCCAAGAGAGAAACAAAGGTCACAGACCTAAGTAGAATACAGGCTGGCTGTGTGGGGTTTGGAAGCTGCAGGGCTGTGCAGAAGAAGGCCTGTTGGGCAGTGGGCTGCTTCTGAGCTGGTTATCAACCACAGCCAGGATATGGGAGGAGAGGCTGAGTTCGGCCTCTGCATGCTCTGCAGCAACACAGCACACCTACGGGCAGGAAACTTGGGCTGAAGAGGTGTAAAGCTGCTGAAAGACATGATTCAGAGTGAGAAAGGAAGGAAGGAAAGCTTGTGGTGCTCATAGAACCTGTGGACGGCACAGGAGTCACTGCGGAGTGTAGAGGATAAGGAATGACATGCAGGAGGGGAGATGTTGAAGCCAGAAAGCTGCTGTTGGAGACTTTGACAAAAGGAATTCCAAATCAGTGCAAAGAGCAGAAGACAAGCAGCTCTTTATTTCACCCCACAGGCTCCTCATCAGTCTTTATGCAGTTTTATGCAGCTGTCAAAGCTCTGCAGGAGCTCTTCTTTCCGTGCCACACGTTGCTTGGATCACTTTGCCAAACCCCTTCTGTGGGCAGCTGCAGACCTGTAGGGTGCTTGATCCCTGGGCTTTATCTGTGTCTCATCTCTAAGCTAAGCTATAGCTGTCTCTCTTCTTCAACTCCTTGTCCGACCCTTTGATTTTAGATAAGGAGATGTTATTTATCACCAATATATAGCTGCCTATGGAGAGGCATTCCTCTCTCTGGCCCTGGAAGGGGTCTGCATGAGGCTCCCTGAGGCAGTTGGTGGTGGCTGCCGTGGTGCAGGCAGGTTCCTTCCCCTTGCAGATGTGTGTTCTCAGCAGCAGTCAGTGGCCTGCCCAGAGCAGCACCCCTCTGGACCGGGCCCTGAGTTGTGGTGAGGATTTCAGCATCTCTTCTTTTGCTTTCTGGTCCTTTTCTGTGCGAGTCCCTTGGTGAATGACTGGACTGTGAAGAGTCAATATTCACACTCTTGGCTGTCAGTCCCTTCTCTGTACCACTTTGGGCTGCAGTGTGTGGTTGCTCCATCCTCTTTCCTCAGCCAAGGACAGAAGCGCTTCCCCGCTGTGGATGACTGGGCTCGGGAAGGTGGGGAAACCTGAGTCATGTGTGTTGGTAATAAAAGTGTTAATGAAATGTCTATGGCTTCCTCAGCTCCGCCATGCAACAAACAAACAAGTGTGTGAGAAACTGCACACCCTAAGCCGCTGTGGGTTTGCTATGGGACTGCTCAGAGTGCTCTGTAGTCAAGCATGATTGTCTCTGTTGGGGGGAGTGATAAAGCAAGGTTTTGTGTGTAATACACTGACATTTGCATACAGGGATGCTCTAAGGGTAAGTACATTGCTGTGTGCTTATTTTGCAGAGGATAATATTGAAATCTTAAAGTTGTTTGTTAGTAGTAGCATTATTACTCAGAGGCACCCAGGGACTGACCAAAGCTCAAGGAAAGGAACAATTTGCAAAGCAGTTTTTCCCTAAGTAGTCACTGAGAGATGCAATGATCAGAGCTGTGTGAAGTCATGTGGTTTTCAGTCTTGTCTGCTACATGCATGTGCTTGAAACTGGAATGTGGCCCTTGCTATGAAAGAAACAGAAGTCAAGGACTTCTTAATATTGTCCTAGAAACAGCAGGTATAACAGCTGCCAGATCATATATTTGATGAAAGATAGACTCATCGTGGAATCATGGAATGGTTTGGGATGGAAAGGACCTTAAAGCTCACCCAGTTCCAGCCTCCTGCCATGGGCAGGGACACCTTCCACTAGAGCAGCTTGCTCCAAGCCCCTGTGTCCAACCTGGCCTTGAACACTGCCAGGGATGGGGCAGCCACAGCTTCTCTGGGCACCCTGTGCCAGCACCTCAGCACCTTCATAATAAAGGATTATCTTCCCAATACATAACCTGAATCTCCCCTCTGTCAGGTTAAAGCCATTCCTCCCTGTCCTGTCCCTACAGGCCTTTGTAAAAGTCCCTCTCCAGGTTTCCTGCAGGCCCCTTTTAGGTATTGGAAGGCTACTGGGCACTATACAAAGAAAAAACCCCTTGTCCATTGGACTGTCTCACTGTCGTTGACATTAAACCTCGTGTCATGGCAGTTTTTCACTGAGGAATTATGAATATGCACCTTGGTGAGATGCACCTTGAGGTTACTAAAACCAGTGACGTTGTTCACTGATGGGAGCAATAAAGCTCAAACTGGTGCCAAAAGCAAGAGCAGGGTTGGATGCTTAAGGTTGACATGAGTAATCACCTTCCCAGTGAGTACCATGAGTAGGAAAATGTGTGTCTGTATGTCATCAAATGCATGTGTGCATTAGAGCAAAACCCACTGCACTCATGAATTCCTGCGGCTGCAATGGGGGGGAATGGTTTACCCCTGGAACAAGGGAACACATCAGAAGAAGAGGGTGGCCAGCCTTAGCAAGATTTGAGTTCATCTTAGTAATCAGGATGAATAACCACTGAGTCGAGTCATAGGCTCTATACATGCAGATTAAGTTCTTCATTAAGACTAAGTCAAAGGGCCAGGGGTGGAAAATTAAAACCAAGACTCTGTTATGCCTTGAGTGTTCATGGCCAAACCAACTTGAATGGTCAAAGCAACTGCGGTCCTGGATAGCGTATCCCCTTGGGACAGGGAAGGAGATTTGAACTGAAGAGCCCCAAAGACCTCATTCTGCAAAATATGCAATAGACCATTACTTGTTAGGACAAGAGAGGGCTTCACTTTGGCTCCAAGACACTAGAAGGAAACCCCATTAGTTCTCTTGCTATCTGTCCCTTAATGTTTCCTCCTTTCAGTAACTTCTTTATGTTGCACTTGTGTCTCTCCCTTCATCCTGTTTCCTAAACGCTGCTGCTCTCTTTTCACTCATCTTCATTCCTTGAGCCTGCTCGAAACTTGCTCGAGGTTTCAGCACTGCAGCTGGCGCTGGAGGAGATCGAGGGCTGCCCACGAACAACGACACCAGCCTATTGCTCTCCGCTCACCTTCCGAGTGAGATCGTTGAACGTTCAGATCCTGCTCAACTTCTCCATTTGGGGTTTTCCCCAACGCTTCCCAGAAGCAGACGGTGCTTCCTGGAGCTGTGCTCACAGAGCACGATGCTTTCGGCAGCGCTGCCTCCTCCCAACAAAACCACTCGGATCCATCCTTCCTCCTGAGCTGCCAGGGTCAAGGAGAACCCACGTACAAGCTGGTGCGCTGTGGTGATGTCAGCCTGGGCAGGGGTTGTGCACAGTCACCAGCTTGAGCAGGATGCACCCTGAGGATGTGCATGGAAGATTATCTTCTGGTTTAAAACACCTGAGTATAGAAGTGAGCTTGGGTTGCATTTAGGAACACAAACTGGATCCATTTCATTGACACCATAAAGAAGGAGGATGCCTTTCCCTTTGCCACTGGCTTCAGCAATGACTTCTCTGTGCCAGAGCTTTAGGGAAGGTTTGGGAAAACACACAGTAGGTTGGGATGCCTCCTGGGAGGGGAGGTGGGAATTGAAATAGGTTAGAAATGCACTGGGAGCAAGCTCAGTTAGAGGGCAAGGCGCCAGAAAGGGTATGTGTTACCTTTACTACAAGGCAGAATAGAAGCTTTCTGTGGAAAAGTAATATTATAAATAAGAGGAGATTTAGAAATCGCTGCTTTTATAGAAAATCAGATCCCATACTTTAGGGGAGGGGAGTCACAAATAAGTGGGGATGGAGCCCATGACACTGCAGTGAGGGCAGCACACTTTGGTCTGGGGAAGGAAGCTGGCACACAGTCAGTCAGTGCAGATGAAGGCTGCCAGGGATCCTGTGTGCACAGTGAAGTTCAGGCTCCACAACCACCAGGGTTTGTGGCCACTGAAATTATTACAAACCTAAAGAGAAACATCGTTTTCTTTAGGTGTGTTTTCTGTCAGTCAGAGAGTTCTGGTTTAGATGTGAAATGTCCCTGCAGCCCCATAGCACGAGGCACCCTTTGCCGGTGCCCTTTCCCCTGTGAGCTGTCCCTTTGCTTCCTGCAACCAAGGGGTCCACCACGGGCTCACAGTGGAGGGTTTCACAGGGCCGGGCCTGGGTTTTCCTTACATCCTCATGTGTTTCCTGCTCCCTGTGGCTTCTTTCCTTTGGGCACATTCCTCACCTCTTTTGTGAAAGGTGAAAACTCTTTTGTATCCCAGATAAAAGACGGTGAGAGAAGTTCTTGGTTCTCTTGTGTTGCTCCGGATGGCAAAATCTGTAGCCCCTGCATCAATGCAGTGGGGAAAAATACTTTCCAATGGCTTTCCTTCTATCCTAACGCTTTTCAAACACTTTCAGACGTGATCTTTTCAAAGCTATGCTGGGGATTTCCACTCCCTCGCTGGTTTCAAGTGCTCGTGCTGTTGTTTTAACCACAGAGCTCATGCAGGCGCCGCTCTCTCAGCTCGCTCTCACACTGTCTCCCCATTGAGCACCAGCGACAGTTCTCAGGTACGGCTTTACCAAAACCTCTCTTGTTAAGGCTGGCAGGAGCCTGACGTTGCTGGGATGGTTCCTTCTCTCTGCAGGGCTCTTCAGGGGTGAGCTGCGGCACAAGGGGCTGCACGGGGGAAGCTGCAGACCCTGGAACATCGCAGGGACAGAGTTCACCCCCTGAAGCAGCAAAGCAGTGCCGGCGTGTCACAGGGATGAGTGGTGGTGCCAGAATCCCTATCGGTGCTTGGGAATGTGGTGAAACACCCAGGTATCGCTAGAGAAGTTACGGGAACAAAGTTACCCTCAAGCTGTGAAGGAGATCATTTTAGGGCAGGAGTTGTCCATGTTCCCATAACAATATTGGGTTGATTTGGTGTAGAGAGATTTCTTGATACTGAAAAACTCATTAATTCATGATCAGGACGTGCAGGGGAAAGAGCACATATAGAAGATACGCCTGTAAAATCAAAGGTACCTCAGGACCAGGCACACTTCATCAGTTGTTAAAGTGTGTTTTTAAAACTGCTGTAAGATGCTATCTGTGTTATAATCTATGCCTTGAAAAACCAATGCATCTCAAAGGGGATTTATTGCAATGCTTGACTGGAACTCTACGCAACGAAACCCCACTGTCTTACTCTGCTTACTGAAAATTTGCCTATGGAGATTAGCAAACTGATGCTTGCTTAGCAAGGTTTTACTGTGCTTTGAGAATAAGGTAATACCAGAGTTTGAATTTGATAATATTTTCTATATGCAAAAGAAAACACATTTGTTCTGCTGCCCTTTGCAGCAACATCCCCTGTGGGGCACCAGGAACGTATCCAAGAGGAAATTATTGCTGTTAGAAATGTTCTCTCCTGGGTATCAGCTGGTCACTGCACCGTGGTTTATAAGTGAGGTTTATAAGGGACAAAAATGATTCCTTTCCGATATCGTTTGTCATCACCTGCTGTTTTCCATGTAGGCTGCTCTGTTTTAAATAGGTATTTCTAAGCATACAGATGTTTTTAGACATTCCTTAGCAGGCTTTGTTACCTGTTCTGCTCCGTATGTTAGGAGCTGGGGCATATCTTTCTTATTCCCAAAACACGAGTGTGTTTGTGCAGATCCTTATGTTAGTAGTAAACCATAGAACTTTGTTGTTTTGAGTTAGAAATACCAGAGGCAGCTAATCTCCCCCATTTATAAGGCAGCTTGGAGAGGGTCATTTTAATGCAAGGCATGTTCCCCTCCACCCTGTCTCTGCCTCTCACCTCCCAGTGAAGTGACTTGATCTCAGCCCTTTCAAATTCACAGAACCTTCCCTGCCATGGCAGTTCTGATGTACTCTAAAAGGCAGATTATTTCCAGAGGGAAGTACAGGGCATCTTCAAAGTCTTGTCCCTAACAAGTGCCTTAGGGCACAGCAATAGAGCAGAACTAGAGCTAGGAGAATAGGGACATAGGTGTGTCAAGGTGCCATGGAAGATGCTAAGTAAGGAAGGGATCATGGTGCTTGTTACTGAGCAACACCCAATCCTGGACGGTAGCTGAGCTTTACCCTCCCCTCACACAGTGAACCTGGCAGAGCTGTGTTCCCTGCGTGTTTGCTGGGCAGCAAGACCAAGGACCCTGTCTTTTTGTCCATATGTGACAACCAAACCTGTGATAACAACTCATATTTGCCCTTCTCAGTCTGAAAGATGGGGTAGCACTCAGTGCCTCGGGTCTGCTGTCCTGGAGGTGCTGCAGCCTCCTGTAGTGGTGCCCTCATAGCTCAGGGGTAATGTGTGGACCTTTCCAGGGGCCTGGCTGCACGTGAGAGAAAACAGGAAAAACATACTCTCTTTAAAGAGAGCGATTACATTATCACATTACACTACACACACAGGGATGGTTTTCCCTGTGTGCAGCCTGTTTCCGTGGCTAAAAGAATGTAATCTGTCCACCATACTTGAACGGGGTGTCAGCACTGCACACCACTCTCGCCTTTCTGACTGCTGGTGGCATGGACAGGCAGCAGCACTGCTGGAGGGGACCTCTCTGAACACAGCTTTTAAAATACTAATGTGATTTTATCTTATAAAAGTTTATAATATGAATATATAAATATATTTTTATATTACATTATTATAGCAAGCCGTGCCCATGCTGATTTTTCTCCTTATTATCCTGTTCTGCTAGTGCCTTGCTCAGTTCCTGAGCAGTGAGATGTGCTAAGTGTGGAGCATGTTCTTGGTGTGTTGTTTGGTGTGGGGGCAGTTAAAGCAGCACAGCCAACATAGAAGCATAGACTCATAGAATAGTTAGGGTTGGAAAGGACCTTAAGATCATCCAACCCCCCTACCGTGGGCAGGGACACCTCACACTAAACCATGTCCCCCAAGGTTCTGTCCAACCTGGACTTGAACAATGCCAGAGATGGAGCATTCGCAACCTCCCTGGGCAATCTATTCCAGTGCCTCAACACCCTCACAGGAAAGAACTTCCTCCTTATATCCAATCTAAACTTCCCCTCTTTCAGTTTGAACCTGTTACCCTCTGTCCTATCGCTGCAGTCCCTGATGAAGAGTCCCTCTCCAGCATCCTTATAGCCCCCTTCAGACACTGGAAGCTGCCCTGCGGTCTCTACGCAGCTTCTCTTCTCCAGGCTGAACAGCCCCAATGTTCTCAGCCCATCTTCATACAGGAGGTGCTCCAGCCCCTGATCATCCTCGTGGCCTCCTCTGGACTTGTTCCAACAGTTCCGTGTCCTTCTTATGTTGAGGACACCAGAACCGTACACAATATTTCTTGTTATGACAATTCGCCCCCTTGGATTATCCCCAGGGAGGTTGAAGCATCCGTGTACAACACCATAATGTGAAGAGCTGTTCCAGAGGCATGGAAATGGGAGAAAGCTGCAGCTGGGAGCAATTTGTACTTCGCTGCCACTGACCTCCCACTCTTTGGTAGCTGTCCATAGGACTTGGGCCTAGCTTCTAGTGATTCATGCTGCTCTTCTATGGGTGGTCAGAGTTAATTCTGTTTATTTCAGTAAGTGGAAGTCCATGGGTTTTTACATGTAGATTTTCAGTGCCCACAGATCAGTTTCTCTGTGTGTGCTGTTGCAGTGGAGTTGCAATGAAAATCCCTTTCCTGCATGTGTTGTGTATCTGCCACGAGAGGATCTTTATGCAGCAGGAGCCTGCCTCTCTCTAATGCATTAAAAGCATCATTACAGCTCACACACGTGCTGAAGAGTTGCAGTGTATGCAAAGAAAGAGCCTTCTCATTGCTCTTAGCTGTGAAGAGGCAGAAGTGAAAGCAGATTGTCTCCTATGTGGGCCAGGCATTAGCGTAAGCAGGAAACTGATTCAGTTAACCATCGGTGTGCTCTTGCTGTCACCAAAAAGCACTTTTTCCCCTGACGGTTTCCCTTTGGTTTCAGTTAAGAGAGCACTGGAAGCTGAGTCACAGAATCTCAGACTGGTCTGGGTTGGAAAGGACCTTAATGCTCATCCAGTTCCAACCCCTGCCATGGCTCTTCCATTGGAGGAGAGGTTTCTGTTCTTGCCTTTGGCCCGAAATGCTCTTTGTGGTGCCCTGAGGTGCCCACTGCTGTGCAGCGTGGTCCTGAGCAAGGCTGAGGGGGGAGAAGGTGCTTTCATGGACAAGACTTGTCAGTGTGTTCCTGTTGGTTACTGATGTTAGATGATCAGTTGTGCTGGAGCAAGTCTGACATTCAGCCTAGTGGAGGGCGGGGAGGCTCTCATAAGCTGGGCAGGTAGATGCTGTGTACAACCATGCACATGGGTGCTCAGTTTGCTGTGAATGAGGTTGGTTAAGTGCTTTGGCTTGTTTTTGAATGGGGTGTTTTATCTGTCCACAGGATTTCCTCGCCCAGTACGGTATATTAAAGTAGGAAGGAAAATGGATGCTGCTTTCGGAAGCCTAAGGTGCTCTGTGGCAGTGCTGGAGCTGCGTGCAACACAGTGACCTTACAGGAGCTAAATCGGAGCTCTTGGGGGGGGTGCTGATGCCAGTAAGAGCAATTCAAGTGACTGACAGGGCAGGTGATGCACACAGAGGAGAAAGAGCATCCCACAGCACAGCTACAGAACCAAGCACTTCCCCCGTGAAACCACCTGAGAGCTTGGGTGCTTTCGTACACATCCTGTGAAGAACAAATGTCTTCGGAAGGCAAAGCTGCAACAAACAGAAAGCAGAGGGGCTCTGGGTCTTGAGCCCCAAACTACTGCGGGATTGAGGGACCGGGGGCAGATCTCAAGGTTTGTGACTCTGGGCTGGAAAAATCTGTTGCTGCTTCTTTTCTTATGAGAACATAGATGCTGCGTTGCTGTGCTGTGTGTGAGCTTCGGTAGCTTGAGAGGAACACTTCTGATTGCAATCTTGCTTTTCTCCTTTGTTTTCCACCCCTTCCTTCAGGCAGGATTAACAGAGCTGAGAACGTGCACAGAGCCAAGTAAAACTTCAAACAAAATAGGATTAGAGTTTGCTGCCATAAATGAGGAAAAGGAAGATGTCAGCTTAAGAGACTTGGACTCCTGTAACACCTAAACCAAAGGTAAAATCCTCTTGCTGCCTTTTGTAAGCTCCTTGTTGTGAACCACAAAGCTGTCCCCTGCTTGAGCCACTGCAATGAACTCCTGAGATTCACTGAAGTTCCTGTGGATGGGCTCTATGTTAAGTGTAGGCTTTCCTGGTGCATTAGGGCCAAGACTTGGCCTCCGCTTTCCCAACCATGCCCGTGACTCTTGGAAGTGTTTTGAGACTACGAGCTGCTGCAGGAGAGTGTGAGCCCATGAAAATCTCTGTTCTGCAGAGCAACAGTCACACTGTGAGACTGCCACAGAAGTGTGCTGTGACGCTTGTCGTGTCACCACCGCTTTGTTGTCCTTCCATAGCCGGCGCTTCATCGCCCTCTGAAACCTGTCGCATCCCGCTGCAGATGACACCCCCCTGCCGCAACCGGTAGCTGCAGCACGTGGTGAATGCCTGAAGGGACTCCTCCTGTGCCTGGCTCCCAGTGCAGCTCTCATGGCCTGCGATGAACCCGCTGCTCTCTCGGGCATCCTCACGCGCCAGAACTCCTCCAGCGCCGCCTCCCTGGACTCCCAGCCCGATGCTGACTACACGTTTGTGGAAGCCTTGGAGGAGCGGTACAAGTGCGCCTACTGCCACCTCGTCCTTCGCAACCCGCACCAGACGGGCTGCGGGCACCGCTTCTGCCAGCAGTGCATCCTGGCTTTGAGGTCAGTGCAAACTCCTCCCGCAGCCACAAGCTCCCCCTCCCCTAAAGAAGTCAATTCCTTCTGCACTTCAGCAGGGATGGATAACAGAGAGATAACTGCCATAGGTAACAGTATTGATCTGATCAACGCTGAGGGAGTCGGGGGAGAGACTCTGTTGAACTCAACTGCGTGCTCAGTGTTTGAAAGGCGTCTTTAAGGACCTTACCCGCATACTTTGGTAACCACAGGGAAGGCAGAGTAAAGCAGTTGTTGCTGTAAGCTTAAGCTGTACGCCGTGAGGTGCTATTTCAACCTGTCTGTCTGGCATCGTGCCATTCAGACGAACTTGTGGCATTAATGTCTCATAGTGTCAGCACCGGTGGTTAGATTAAGCTATTTTCATCTGCTTCTCTAGAATTGATTTTAGAGGAGATCTTAAACTGATGACTGTTGCCTGATACCAAAGTCAGGTCACAGGGCTGGTGGCATCCACCTGCTTGGGACTGAGCTGCAGGTACAAATGAGACAGCCTGTCTGGGAATGCATTATGGACTGCTTGGTGTAGGATCCGAGGGCAGGATTTGGCCATGAAGGCTGCAGAGGAGACAGTTTATGTAGATGGGTGTCACCATTTACCTTTACATGCTTTGTGTTTGCTGCTTTCTCTCCCTGCCTCCTGTTTGCACTGCCTCAGGAAGTGCTTTCCCATCTCTTACTGTAGGACTTCTGGAAGCCTTTTGAGACAGGAGCCATAAGATCTCCTGTCAGTGGTGTAGCAAGGCTTGCACCAGGCAAAGACCAGGTTTAACACACACGATGGGACTTTTTCCAGATGTGACATGATGGCCAGAGAGTGACAAAGTCCTCTTAACTAAAACCCATCTTATTAGCACTCATAGGACAAACTTTGCTTTCTGTTATATATCCACTGGTTGGAACTTGATGATCTTAAGGTCCTTTCCAGCCCTGCCTATTCACTGTTGCAGCTTAATGCCCTCTCAGTGCTATGGGCAGAATTTGGCTGCGGAGTTGCCAGACTAAAGTGATTTTGAAGGCCTTTTTTGGGGTTTTATGGTATCGAGTACTGACTTCTGCCAGAGTCAGATTCCAGCACGGCCCAATGTGGGTAAAGAAATCAGTTTTTCTGTGGGATAACACAACTCTTCTGTTGATCTAGAGAACTGAGCGCAGTACCCACCTGTCCTGTCGACAAAGAGACAATAAAAATGCATGAGGTAAGTGGCTGTAGTTTTACTTCAGCAGCCAACATCCGCATGGAAAAGGCAAGGCAGCTGAGAACAAGGTGGCTTTTAGTGTGTTAGACCTCGGGGCAGAGCAGCTTTGCTCTCTGAACTGATGCTAAGGGATTCAATCTATTCAGTGATGCTCTCCCAGAAAGGAAGTGTGGGTATGAAGCTAAAGCTTCATTTTATACCTCATGCTCTGAAGCTATTTCATTTTAATCTTCTGTAGTTCCAGGGGAGTGCTGAAGAGTTTCACAAAGCTTTAAATCCTCCCTAGTCATCAGAGGTCTTGTTTAGTGGAGAGTTTAGTGACTTGCCTTTTCAATGCCCCAACTTACTGTGTCATCTTTGTTTTAATTTGGTTATAATTTGCTGCCTTAACTATTGCCATTACAGCTGTTTAACCCTGCAGACTTAATTTACTTGTGGGTAACTTTTTAGAGGAAAAGGTAAGTTCATGCTTCTAATTTTGCAAGCTATTGAGTCTTTATTATTATTATTATTATTAATAAATAATAGATTCATTTGTCCCTATTTCTATGCCAAGGCTTGAAAGTGTGCTACATCCTTGGTCCTGCCAGAATGAATTTTCCAGTGAAACCATATGTCTCCTTCTTCTCTGTCCTCCTCCTGACAGGAAGCTGCAATCACAGCATCCACATGAGTTTTGGTTTTCATTCGCTAGCTTCCACTTGGTGCAAACTCTGACAGCAGCAGCGCACCAGTGAGCAGCTTTAGAATGCTCTCCAAATAAGACTGAGACTTTTCTCTGGGGGCTTAATTTGCTTCTGCACACACAGCAGGGAACAGAGCTGTTTCCCAGAGCCTGCAGAAGGGATAGCTCGGCAGCACTGCCATCCCAAAGGCACGCTGCACTGCGTGCGTGTCGGAGGAGCGTGCACAGAGCTGGTCTGGCCTTTGGGGCCCATTAGCTCCAGCTGCTTTCTTCTCGATACAGGCAGTGGTTTTATAGCTCCTGAGCTCCTAATCCTGCTGGCTGTGGGATGGATCAGCAGTTGTGGATAATTATATGGTGAAAACCCCCTATGCTTATTAGAAAACCCATACATGTGTTAATTTCTATTTTCAGTACCCATTTCCAATATGAATCATCAAGAATCATACAGTTACAAAGACTACACTTGTGTCCTTAAAAGACTGATCGTGATGTCTTGCTTTTTCACATGTGACCGCATGTGAGGGCTGGTTTGTTTCCTTTACAGGTATTCAAAGACAACTGCTGTAAAAGAGAAGTTCTCAACTTGCACGTCTTCTGCAAAAACACTCCTAACTGCAACTCGAAAATCATGCTGGGACGGTACCAGGTTAGTTTGAGCCAAGCTGGAAACCTTTGATTTTCAGGCAAACTCTGAGTATTTATGAAAATCTAAATTCCAGGGATTGTCTTCAGAGCTACTGTAGCAATGTGGTTTAAGTACAAAGGTTATAACTCAGCCACAGTGTAAGTAACAAATGCTAAGCTCAGAATACTATGGCTTGTTCCAGCTTTGCCTTAGGTTATTAAATAAGAACCATTTGCTTTATGTAGCTTTAGTTTATCTACAGCACCTCTATGTACCTGCTGTATGCCTAGGCACCATGCAATGGCTGGTTCAAGAGAACTTGCCAAGACTGCCTGTGCATTTGGGCCTTTTTCAGCATTTCAATTGGATGAAAAGTGGAAGTTAAACAAAGGAGTCTCCAAATGTTCATATCTGCTTTAGTTTTGAGGTTGGAAGAGAAGAAAGCTTATGGAGGAAAGAGTATTTGGAGTTTTGTATGTGCCCAACCTGCCGACTTTCTGTGGGGCTGTTGGAGGGGTGATGAAATCCTTTGGGGTTTAATTTGCTGTTGCACGTTGCAGGAGCATCTTCAGCGGTGTTTGTTTGAAAGCGTGCCGTGCACTAATGATGGATGCTGTGACCAAGTTCTTCGGAAAGACTTGGAAGAGCACTTGAGCCAGCACTGCAAATTCCGAGAAGAGATGTGTCAGTACTGTAACAAATGTGTGCTGTTGGTTAACATCAAGGTAAGAATGGAAAACATTCCCTGGGAAACCACAGCAGGTGTTTCCTCTTCATGTTGTTGAGTGAAAAGTTGCCAGCATCGCAATGGGGCCTAACTCCTGAAGCAAAATTTGGCTGAGTAGCTGAAGCAAAAGTATAATACATGTGCTTTAAGTAATACCAGTTACTGTTACTCTCTTATGAAGGACGATATCAAATCATCAAATGGTATGGGTTGGAAAGGACCTTAAGATCATTTAGTTCCAACCCCCTGCCGTGGGCAGGGACATCTCACACTAGACCATGTCATCCAAGGCTCTGTCCAGTCTGACCTTGAACACTGCCAGGGATGGGGCATTTACCACTTTGGGCAGCCTGTTCCAGTGCCTCACCAGCCTCACAGTGGTGCCTGCACCTTGTATATGCTTGCATATGAGGCTTGCACCTGTATTGTCTGGGATTACCTTTCAATAGTTTACTCTTGTGTAGATTACTTTACAGAAATGCAACCCATTGCCTTGTTTTGTTTCTTTTCCCCCCAGAATCATGAGAAAAATGACTGTCCTGATTATCCTGTGCCTTGTCTCCACAACTGTTCCCAAATCATTCTGAAAAAAGAGGTACTATTGTTATTTCCTATACTGTGATTCAGCACAGCACACACACATTTATGAAAGCTGAAACGTTGCAGACCCCATTGGTGGTTCCAACAACCAATGTTCCAATTAAACTTCACTGCTCGAAGCATTTGCTTTGTTTAGATCTGAAAGGGATATATGGCTCACCTTAGAAGTGAGCTATTTGGTTACTGCAAGCTATTGGCATTCTGCAGCGTGGAATAATATCTGGCTTGCTTATTGATTCAGAACATTCCGTTTCCTCTTCCAATGATCAGTGTCATGACACTGGCTTTTGTTCACCCTGTCTGCAGGCATTCAGGCTTTAGCAGTGCAGCAAATTACTTCATGTTTCTTTCCTAACCAGTTTCTTTGCTCATTACCTGCAGACTGAAAAGCACCACGCTGTGTGTCCCGAGGTGGAAGTGGACTGCCCCTATAGGCAGTACGGCTGTCTTGTAAAGGTACCAGTTTATACATCTTTATCCTGAGAATCAGGTCTGCCATTCCCTCACTGTCAAAGCACAGAGGCATTTTAAAGGCTTGATCAGTAGATATTTTACTAACAGCTTCACCAATCTGCATATCTTATTATCTTGTTCTTTGACTCCCACCTCTGCCTCACTAAGGTTAAAAGAGGGAAACTTGCTGAACATGAGAACGGTGCCCTGAGGGAGCACATCCTGCAGATCTTAGACAAGAACTCCCAGTTGGAAGAGCAGGTAAGTCGGATTTAATGAGCACTTCTCGGAGGTGCCTGGCTGGTTGGAGGATGATTCTGCATTTGTTGCCTGGTTTAGCTCAGCTACATTTTAAAAGACTGTTTTTATCATCTTTGTACACCTCAGCAGTCAGAATAAGCTCTTCTAGTCAAGCCAGCCAATTAGATGGAAACCTCTCTGTGCTCAGGCACGTATATTCTCCACCAAGCACAGTGGGAGGCTCATTGTCATTGCTCACTTCATTTCATTTCAGTCTTTGCTTACAGTGGATACAAGGTTTAGAGAGGAAGCATTTTAAAGTTGCAGTGGTCAGACTGCTCCAAAAGGGAGCATTTAGATGCCCAAGTCACCCACCCTACAGCAGCAGCACAAAGTAGTGCAGAGCCAGTTACAAGGACCTTCCACTCAAGATCATTTCTGAGGCTCCCAGCAGGTGACAGTGAGTGAACACTCAATCCTACTAAGGTGGATGCATCCAAACTGATGGCTGACTTACTATTTTGCTTGTTCATGCTAAAAATAAGTGCCCAAAAGTGCTAAAACTTGATTTTGGAGTTAGTATCCTTCACTGACTCCTCTCTTGTACTAGTTGGACCTCAGTAGAGAAAAAAAACAATAATAAATATATACATGCATAGAAACACACATGCACATGTGTGCATGTATTATTCTACTACAGAGCCAAATGGCTCATCGTGATGGGGATGAGGGGTATGAGTCTGTCTGTGCCTGCTGCCACACAGATCTATTAAAGAGTGTCATCTCCTCATGTTCAGTTCTTGCCAGTGCTTATCCATGACTGTGAATTAGGGTAGTGCTTTATGTAGCTACCTTAGAGGCTTCGCACTGTAAACTCGTCCACTTTCTCCCATATAGTCACATATGTCTTAATTTGATTGTTGTACGTTTTGGTGTGCCTTCACATTTTCACTCTGTTCTTTCCATCCAATAGATAACTGACCTGTATAAGAGCCTGGAATGCAAAGAGATTAAAATCCAGCAGCTAGCAGAGGCCATTAAAAAGTGTGAGAAAGAACTGAGACAGTTTACACAACTGCTTGGTAAAAATAGCAACTTGATGGTAAGCACACAGGTGAGACGTTGGTTTTATCTGGTTTGCAGTTGCTTTCTTGCATCCTGAACTATGTTTCTCCAGTAATAGCTGTCATTAACAGCAGGGCAGTAACAGATCTCCCAGATACTTCCCAAGCCCTTCTTGTTGTCGTGTTGTGTTTTCATGTTAACCAATAAAGAAGTTTAAGAGATCTGCTCTGGGCTAAAAAGACACTACGAATCCTCCTGGTCAGATCTCTGTGTCAAAGATGCCGGGTGTAAATGTGAATAATCAGTTGGGTGAAGTGATGCATTGTGAATGGGTCTGAATGAGGGATGGCTTCTCCGCCAGTAAATGTGCTGAATTAATCATGAAGGAGCACTGGGATATGTTCCTAAGCCAGCAGAGCACTTGGAACACGTTGTATAGATGATACTGCTGACATGCTAAAGACTTCTTTACCTTGTTTTAAATGAAATGGCTGATCTCATGGATGCCTCTTGTCTTCGCTTCCCACCCTCTTCCAATGGCATGAACTGGGAAGGCTTTGGCCAGTCACCTGGATAAATCTGCACGCCTGGAGTCGCAAGTGAAACAGCTAATACAGACGGCAAACCAGCAGCAAAGCAAATTAGACTTGCAGCCTCTGTTCGACATGATTGAGAATGTAAAACAGAAGATTGCCCTGATGGAGACATACGATCAGCGCTTGGGTACGTTGGGACTTCCCATCCTGTTCTGCACAGGTATGGGGGTTTTGCTGATTTACTGGCTAAGTAGAGGCTCTGGTGCTACTGTCACTCAGTTGCAGCTCTTCACTAGAAAGAGCTTTCTTCTTCTTGCTTTCTAAGACCAACCCATGGTGGTGTGTGCTGTGTGCTCGCAAGTTCCTATGGCACTGTAGGGGCAGAGAGCTGGCCTTGGTGAGGCTGGTGCCCTGTGATGGAGGCAGCATATTGTCCACATTCAGGCATTAAATCTGGTTTGTAGTCACCCGTCTTCCTTGTTCAATTACCAGCTGCAAGTACATTTTCAAGACGTTTATAGCTGTAGTAACATGAGCTCACAGCCTCTACTCAGGCTTGAGTAGCTCAGTTTCATGGAATCATAGAAGCACAGAATAGTTTGGGTTGGAAGCAATGAGCAGGGGAGTCTTCAGCTAGATCAGGTTGCCCAGAACCACATCCAGCCTGGCCTGCGATGTCTCCAGGGATGGGGCATCCAGCACCTCTCTGGGCAGCCTGTGCCAGTGTTTCACCATCCTCGTTGTAAAGAATTTTTTCCTCACATCCAGCCTGAATCTCCCTCTTTACATTTAAGCCCATCACCCCTTGTCCTGTCACAACAGGCCCTGCTCAAAAGTCTCTCCACATATTTCTTATAGGCCCCTTTTAAGAACTGAAAGGCTGTAGTAAGTTCTCAGATTCTTCTCTTCTCCAGGCTGAACAACCCCAGCTCTCTCAGCCGTTCCTCACAGGAGAGGTGCTCCATCCCTCTGATCATTGCTGTGTCCCTCCTCTGGACCCTCTTCAACAGGTCCATGTCTTTCCTGCAATGAGGACTTCAGATCTGGATGCAGTACTCCAGAGTCGAGGGGCAGAATCACCTCTCTTGACCTGCTGGCCATGCTCCTTTGGACGCAGCCCAAGATACAACTGGCCTCTGGGCTGCAAGCACACACTTCCGGGTCATGTTCAACCTTTCATCCACCAAAACCCCCAAGTCCTTCTCCTCAGGGCTACTCTCAATCCCTCCATCTCCCAGCCTGTATTGATATGCCCCGAGCTGGGTGGAAGACCCCGCACTTGGCCCTGTTGAACCTCATGAGGTTCACATGGACCCCCTCTTGAGCCTGTCTGAGTCCCGCTGGATAGCAATAGCTTGGGTCCAGTTGCTCTTTGTATCCGGTGCTCAGCCAGTTTTAGTTTACTAACCATTTCTCTCTTCCTCCCCTAGTTGTTTTGGAAGGCCAGTCCAGCAAACACGATCTCCAGATCAACATTCACAAAGCACAGCTCAATAAAAACGAAGAACGCTTTAAGCTTTTGGAAGGCACGTGCTACAATGGGAAATTAATCTGGAAAATCACAGACTACAAGACGAAGAAGAAGGAAGCAGTGGAAGGCCGCGTCCTCTCCATATTCAGCCAGCCCTTCTACACCAGCCGCTGCGGGTACCGGCTGTGTGCGAGAGCCTACCTGAACGGGGATGGCTCAGGGAAGGGAACGCACGTCTCCTTCTACTTTGTAGTGATGAGAGGGGAGTTCGATTCGCTGCTACTGTGGCCTTTCAAGCAAAAAGTCACACTTATGCTTTTGGACCAAAGTGGGAAAAAAAATCACATTGTGGAAGTCTTTCGAGCCGACCCCAACAGCAGCAGCTTCAAAAGGCCGGATGGAGAGATGAATATTGCCTCCGGGTGCCCACGCTTCGTGCCACACGCGGTCCTGGAGAACACAAAGAACACCTACATCAGAGATGACACTCTCTTTCTGAAAGTGGTTGTGGATTTAACTGATCTGGAGGAACTGTGAAAAACGCTCCTGGTCAGTGTGACTGCTTTAACCAACAAGGAATGTTTTCTTGGTGACCACCAGCCATGCGATACTGAATTGCCACTAGTCAAGACACTGATACTGTTTTGAGGCTTTTGGATTGCGTAACAGACAATAAATTGCCAAAGCATCAGACTTCCTTCCCTTTTATAACCCTTTTTTCCAGACCGTGTTTTCCAGGCAGCTGGAAGTCCGGTTTGATGCAACATGCATTCGATCCATGCATTCTCGGCTCAGTCCAAGCTAGGGGCAATCCTTGGCTCCCATCACCAGACTGGCATTTGGAGATGAAACTCCTCCAGCAAGCTCCGTGGAACCCAAGCAGGCCTGTGGGCTCCCGTCCCTCACACAGAACTGAAGCCATACCCATGCATGCAACTGCATTTCACCTGTCTGAAACGGAAGCATTTCAACATCAGCACATTTGAATCAAAGTACCTTGATCCCTCCATCTCCTGGATTTTTGCACCTTTTCTTGTTGTAACTGTGTTTTCCAGAAAGCCCAGAGGAAGATGCCAATGCCTCTTACTTTTCTAGCCTGGTATCTCGGCTGTATAGAGTACTCCCAGCTCACAATAGCTTTGTTATGTCCTTTCCATTCCTGCCTAGTGCCTTGGGACTGATTTCCACTGGTGTTAAATATCTACAGTCCCCACTGAAGTCAAAAGAAGCTGCAGGTGCTTCTCACCTCTCAGGACATGACCAGAAGCAGGGTCCTTGGCCAGCTGGGCAAAGAGGAGCAAAACTACTGTACTTTTGCTCCCCCATCTGCACAAACGAGATGTTTTCTGGCTTACCATCTCTTCAAAAGACAGGAAAAGCTTTGGGTATCTGCTTAGAAAAAGCCCATGTAACATGCACTGTTTCCCTCTGCTAGGAATTCAGATGTTTGGGAAAGAAGGGAGAACATGGTTTATAAGTGAGGCTGCTGTAAGAACCCCATTCTCACAGGCTGGGCAGCTCTAGCGTTAGTTAAAGGGCGAGACAGCCACTGAGTAACAACTGATGACTATGAAGCATGTCTGAAGGTGTTCATTTTCATTCCAGGTTCCTTCCATACTACAAGGGAATGCTCGCATTGCATGGGGTTTATTAGAGACGCACTAAACCCACCACCATCAGGCACCGAGGAATGAGTGATAACCAATACACGTGCCTTTGTAAAGCCTTTTGGGTGCCTGCAAGAGGGACGTAATTTTGCACACTCGCTCATTTTGTTGTTACAAGTGACAGAATGTTGTGCCTCTCACCTCTCACAGACCAGGTAGTGAAACACCACAGCGTTATCCATTGCTCCTGCACTCCACTGCCAGAGCAAACGCAGAGCTTGTCAAGAGACAGCAAGAAATCAAGCTGGGCTTTAGAGTACCAGTAAAGTAGGCAGGATAAACACCAACACAGGGCACAGACTGCAAGCTATGAGGAAGGGAGGTCAAGAGAGCAAATGTGGCGGAACCAAAAACGCCCCTTCTCTGAGGGATGCTGATAACTGAAATAACATGATCTGGGGATTGATAGCAAAAGGAAGGCAAAACACCACGTATTTTGTACCTGCGATCTTACTGCTAGATATTGACTTTCCCACAGGGTTTCTAAGATGTAATTCAGGCACGGATGTGTTTGAATTCAGGGGCAGGTTGGTTATCTGTACCTCACAGTGGGTTAGCACATCTGGAATCTCTGGTTGAGCTACATGTTCTTTATGTTGTACGGTGTTGTATGGGTCACCATAGAGTTTTCCATGTTCCTACAGACAGAGGATAAGGAATGGATTTTATTCCCCTTGTACCACTGTGACTGACTTTGAGTCACTTGGGCCCTACAACAGAGACAATCAGGCCTTGTGTCCCTAATGCTTCATTACAGAAAGAGCAAGCTTGGTTTGAAAATGGTGTGGCATTCGAGGCCATCAATCCCAAGCCTCGGACATGGACTTCATCTCGATTACTACTTGACTATTCTTTCAAAGTGGCCCAATTTGCAGGATAACCACTAATAACGAACATATCGCCCCTTTTTCCTGGCATCCTCCAGTACGTTGAGTGTTAAAATCAGAAAGCGATAAAGAACTTGGACAGTTGAGGGAGGCAAGACGGAAAGGATTTGGTTTGTATCCTGGCAAATTCCCAGCCCTCTCTGCCTCCCCCCCCCCAAGTATCAAATGGGGATGATACCACCTGCAGAAGCGTTAGAGCTATTTAAATGTTTATGAAGAGTTTGGAGCATGAAAAGAGCTATGTAGTATTATAGCTCTTTATTATAGAGTAGGGGATGGCATAGTGATGTGGGTAAGTGTTAAGTGTGTTCGTGGATAGGTTTTGGAAGCATGTTTAGTTTTAGCCGGTCCGTACCGCAATCCCTCCTCTACCCACTGCTGGGTTTAGAGGTTTTTGCCACGGATATTCCTTTTCCAGTTCTGAAGCACAAACTCTTCATCCCGGGTGATGGCAACAGCCCGGAACACTGCCTGTTTTATACAGAGTTAGCTGAGGAAACAGGCTTTTTTAAAGCCAGCCTTCTTCAAATTTGTTCTTTGTACTACAGCAATTGAGAGATTTATGTTAAAATTTTCAGTGGTTTTGGGTTTTTTTTTTACTACTTGTAAACCAAAGTTTAAGTTTCATCCCATTGCTAACAAGGAAACCAGTGTTGTGTGGCATGGATTGTCGGGAAAGGTTTTGATGTCGCATGAAAAACACCAACAAACTTCCCAATCCTATTGTACTGGGTGAGTGCCCAAGAGAGCGGCGGGTATTTCTGCATCACACACAGCATGTTTCTAATGTATTTATGGACACTTTGTGGTTGTTTGGTTCTCTTGCTACAATCCAGGCGTTTTTCTACCAAATGTCATCACTGTGAACATAAACTACCATGAGAATAAAGGATTTTATCATCCTGCTGGAGTGCTTGTGGCATATATTCCTTCTCATAGGAGAGAATCACAGGGTTGGCCTTTATCAAGTCCAACCTTTACCCCAGGACTCAACACAAACCTCATAAATGAAAAGCACCAAACAGATGAAGAATGCTATTGCTTAACTCAAACCAGACAACAGAAGGCGGTTAGTATGGACCAATATCACACTCTTGCCATCTCATGTCCCTTTTCCCCATGCTTTTGGAGGGATTTAAGCAGGCTTTTTAGAGGGATGTGGAATACTGGATATTTGTTTACAGTCAATGGACGCTGCTTTAGATTAGGAACCCATGCACTTCACAGAGATTTTCGTTTACACTTGAAAACACCATAAAGCAGCACGCAGACGTTCAGTGCATTCTAAGCTAAGCTAAGCTAGATCAGATCCATGAGGTCCGAGATTCCCCGGGATCAAAAGGAGATGTTATCTCCGTTGGGAGCAGGTCTGGGTTTGTGCCAGCGGCGGGGCGGGCCGGGCCGGGCAGGGCGGGCCCGCGTCAACCCCAACGCCCGCTCGGGCGCACTGCGCTCGGCCTCACACCCCGGGAGGAGGCCGGGCCGGCAGCGCTGTGCCGTAGCCCCCGGGGACCGGCCAGCGGGGCAAGGCCGCGGGCAGAGCCGCCGGGGAGCGCTGAGCCCGGGGCAGGAACCGGCCCGCAGGCCCCGGCCCACCGCCCGCACGGGCAGGAAGCGGCGCCGGGCCGCCACAGCGCTTCCGGGGCGGCAGGGGGGCCTGGGCCGGTCCTCGGTACGGGCGGCGAGAGCCGGCTCCGTCCCGGGGTGAATCGGGCACGGAGGCCCCGTGAGGCCCCGCTGGGCTCGGCCGCGGGGAGCAGGTGGGAGCCGGTGCGGCCCGGGTGCGGTGCGGCCCGGCCGGCGGGGCTGGCGTGGGGCGGGCGGGACGCGGGCCCCGGGCCCTCGGGCTTCCTCCTCCCTCGGTGGGACCCTGCGAGGCACCGGTAACGGCAAGCGCGGGTGCTGCGGTGTTGTACCTGCACCTGGGGCACGGTCACTGATGGCACTAACCTGGCGTGGCCGCCGGTCCCCGGGGGACAGGGCGAGAGCTCGGACGTGGCGCGGCCGCGGTGGGCGGTGGTGGTGGTGGGGCTGCCCTGAAGGGGCGCGCGGGTTTCCAGTGCGTGCCCCCTGCGCCGCCGCTCATACGGCGATGGCGATGGTGTTCGCTGTGCTGATGTCCGTCATAGGTATGGGTGACAGCGAGGATGAAAAGAGTAGAGCGCGCTGTGCAACGTCAGAAGAAGGGCTGAAAGGCCGAGGTAGGCACTGCTGATCTGTTTCCGTGCTCTGCTGTTACGTGTGTTAGCCCGTGTATCAGTCACTCTGCTTGACCCCATACTGAACACTGTCACTTGCTGATAAGGGAATAGACCATGGCACGCTGGAAGAGGGGAACAAAACCCCCTGAAATAGGGGCTCATCCTGTTTAAGTTCTGTGAAGAGTCACATAGTTCCTGGGATGCTTGTCACTGTTGCCTTCTGTTATCCTAAGGAAAAGAAAAAAGGAAACGAAAGCGCAGTAGAAGCAGATCATCGTCCATTTCATCCACATCGGCTTCTAGCACTACATCCGCTTCTTCCTCCTCATCACGCTCATCATCGAGGTCATCTTCAAGTAGCAGAGGTAAGCTACCTCCCTGCGTACACACCGTGTTCACCAGCGTTGACAGCGCTCCTGGAAACGTTTAAAAGCTTATTTCAAGTGTGGCTAAAGCACCACAAAACAACAATGTGGAATACCAGTGCTGCGTGTCCAGGGGGCTTCTCTCATAACCCTTTCCTATTGCTGTGTCCTAGGTCCTTCTTCACACACCCTCTGCCATGTTCCCGTGTTAACTTCAGAGTAGAAACTGTCATTCAGAGAACTGTTCCCTTGTAGCAGTGTGCCGTATAGGTTTAAAACGGTGTTTGTTACGCTTTCAAAACACGGATCTCTTTCTGCTTCACCCATGTTTCTGGGCCAGAGTTGGGGTTTTTGCTGCAGTCTTACTGTGGTCTTAACATTCCAAGTGTTTCACTTTGAGGACTCGTGTGAGCTTTGTTAATACCAGTGACCAAGTTCAGTGGGAACACACATGCAGGATTAAGATTTTCCATGGTAAGCTGCTGCTTGCATAGAGAACCTGGGGTAAATACTATCTGGGAGTAAGTGCAGGTTTTTTCTATGCCTATAACTTGGGACACGTTACTGACTGTATCAGGCCTGTGTTGCTTTGATGTTCTGTCTCAAGATACTTGGTATCACTGGAGGTAAAGTGTCCAAATTGCCATTTTTTA